TGGCCTTGGAACGCCAAGCAATCCATTTTCCCGCGACGATCGATGCAACATCGTGGACATCATTGCGTCTATGAACTTGATCAACGCGGATGGCGATGCCCACTACCCCCGTGATTCCCAGACCAGCTACCCCACACAAATAAAATCTATACGAATGGTTCTCAACGTCGCGTCCATGCTGGAACGCTTGCAAGTGCAAGCCATCTCCGACCAGCACTACCTGGAGGAATGCCTCGATGTGTACGGTGCGGTGGCAGAACACGAAAGCAAGTCACAACGTACCAAAACCCTGTCATTGACAAGGTCCTTGAGGATACTGGCGTTAATGGCCATTGGACCTTGACCAACTTTACCACGGCGGAGTTTGAAATAATCTGGGGACTCGTTGAAGTCCCGCTCTGTAGCCGTTGGATGGACGGACGAGGACGGAAACCGAAGACATCAGCAAAGGATGCTCTCTTCATGACACTTGTCATCATGAAGCACTACTAGACATGGGAGAAGCATGCAGTTGACTTCGGAGTTAAAGCACCAACGTTGGAGAAGATGATAATGCGTGTTATCGACATTGACTCTCCTGCACAGTACGACGTCTTCGCAACTACGCCTACCATGGCATCACTCCGGGACCGCGGCAACACCATCACCTACTACCCGTACGCAAAGTATGCGACGGATGTCAAATTCCAGCCTTCACACCGTCCGTTAGGCCGCTTCGGAGAGAAGATGCATTACTTCAGTGGCAAGCACAAGCTATATGGGCTCAAGATTGAAGTGTCAGTGTCTTGGAGCCACTTCTAGAGCTACTTACTCTTCAGAGGCCACTTCACACCCATATCCAAAGGCTGGCAGACACTGGTGGAGCTCTTCGGCAGGGGCTCAGATGACACCTTGTCGTGCGAGGTGTTTGAAATGACAATCCAAGTTGTCTGCTGCAATTACAGAGGGGCCTTCGATCTCTAACTTGAGCAGATCAGTCAAGTACATCTCCCACACACGCGTGTCCATCCATGTCTTATCCTGTACAACGTACACATGACCTACTAGATAAGTTGGTACCTCGTCGCACTCGATTGGTCCACCAGGAGATCCCTTGACAATGAACATTATTGGCAACTTGTCCACATTGGATCGTAGTGACAACACAGCCGTTACGCGATGGAGTGTTTTAGCTCAGTATCCACTTAGATGGCCACCGATCTTCGTCAAAGTCTTCGTAGGTAGTAGACAAAGGTTTCGTCGACGATGAAAATGTCAGAAGGAAAATCTTTGAATTTTTCCCAAAACTCCTCAGCAAATGTAGCTTTAGTCTCAGCAAGCACAGCTTGTGGAAGCTTGGTCGCACATGGCACTCGTTGCGAGAAGCGATAGCGTTTAGTAAACCGTTGGCAGAGTCGGAGCATGCTGCTGTACGCCGTGTCGTCGTTCTTCTTGTTAGCAATTACTCCTTGAGCCTGTTCTTGTGGTGCATGCACGTAATGCGACGAATATGGGTGAGGTAGTGCTTGTTGTCTCGGACATCATTCAGGAAGTCATGCATCGCCAAAGCAAATAGGATGCATACTAGTCTACCTTGGCCACCCAGCGTTGCACGTTTAGCATTGCGGCGAGTGGTCATGATCTTCTCCCTGTTCTTCAGCCATCCCCTCCATGTGCTCCAATTAGTTCCATTGGCCCTGGCGTATGATTGAGACGACACGACGCTTGGGTCGAACATGTCCTAGTACTTGCGGTGATCAGTGATTGAGTACCTTGTGTACTGCCCCATGCTCGTGCGTGAAGACGTTACCACAAACGGCCAATCATGAATTAGTGCTGTGGATTCATTTATCCTTTGTACGTATGCGTGATTTTGTTTTGTGAATTTAAATTGTATGTATACATTTTCATATATATTGCCTACTACTTTTAAAATACTTTTCACACAACGTTTTTCTACTGGCTAACCATAATTCCATAATCTCACGAGGGGTGATTGCTTCTTGTGTAGGGAGGTCTTACGTTCTTTGAGGAAATCAAGCGCGACCTACCAACTGGCATAGACTGGGGATCGGTGAATCGAACCCAGGGCACAGCGGTGACACGCGGTACCATTATCGGCTTGGCCAAAATGAGTCCCTTTCAAAGGATTGTTTGCAATCAATCTGTATCGATGAATTAGGCTGGATGAATTAATATGAAATTTGACAAGGTTCCTTGAAAGAGATTTGCAGTCACATGCCGTCGTGATTAGAATCCAAGGCTATATCTCAAGCAACGTAATTCGACATGTACCATATCATGTCCTTCGTCGTGTTGAAGAAAGTCACCCCACTGGGTAAACTATTGGGATTTTGCTCTAGCGTTCAGAATGCCTTGTCCATACTATTATTCCAATAACTTGAACGAGTACAACTAGGTGAATTTTCTGTCGTTTCCTGTAAACTTGTTGACAAGTTGATTCAGCGCGAAAGACTTTGGATTCACCAGACCCTCGGCTTCGCGCTTTTGACAACTTTTCGGCGCCGCCTTCGTTTCAACTTTGACGTCTGGATTGCCGGCTGGTCATCTTCACTGCTGCTCTCGAAGGTGGCTTGTTCGAGGGCGAACATCTCGAACGACGCTTGGAACAGCCGCTTCCGGCGCGAATCGTTAGCAGTCAAGCGCGTCACGAAGTCCTAGTGCTTTTTGAAGGCATAATGACGCGAATGCATCCGCGTTGGTGACCGGACTGCTCAAGTCCACTACGCTTTGAAAGGCCTCTGAATGAGCCACGGCACGTTCCTGCGCAAAGTTGGCGAGGTCGTCCAGAGCCGACTGAATCTTGGATACGGCGTCCCGAACCTGACACCAGCTGGTCAACTTGTCGTGAAGAAAGGCATTCGGAGTCCGACAAGCAGCTATAGTCCGATAACTCGCGCACTGGTACAGGTTCTTCCTGGGATGTGGATGTCGGCAGGACTCGTGGAGTCGAAGGTTCCTCGGCGCTGGATTGGGAGCTCGAGAGAGCCGATCGTATTGCTGTCGTGGACGGGTGAATTGGACGCGTCGCCATCGCCGCAATGCGAGTCCGAGAATGCCGCATGTTATCCGCTCACTCGAGACGACAATTCAAGAATTGACGTCGAACGGACGGCTGGCACGTCCTTGTCTACGATTGGTTGACTAGCGCGAATCTGGCACGCCTGCCAATGAAGACTCTGCCTGTTCGGATGTTGCACCATTCAACCAAGACATCATCGTTGACGCGGTTGTTCGATGGAGGTCGAACTTTGAACGGGGGGTGTTGTGACGATGATGGCCATCAAGTCCACCCTACACGCCCACGAATGACACCAAATGACTAACGCTAGACTCCGAAACTTACACCTTTTAGCTTAGAGACGTTTGTCGTCCCTCTAGAGAGGGGCGCTTCATGTTAGAAAGCTACTTCTAAATCTCACTTTTTACCTGCTTGTTGGAGGTCACGTACTTCATCTTGCGCTACTCTTCTTGGTGAGGCCGATAAAATCCGATCCAGAAGATTAGTTCTCTGAACTTCCTTTTAATTTGTGCCTTTTTCGTGACCGTCACAAATTGCCATCACAGCTGAGCGTCTACCAGATTCGACCCAGATCGTTCATTGTCGGGGGGTCGCTGTGATGGTTCGAGTGCTTGGACGAGGCGAGAGCAGCTTGCCTGGTCTTCGAGCTGCGCTTTTTCTCTGGTGTGCTCGTTTGAATGGCGACGAGGGGGACGGACGGACGATTATCGGGGCACGAGTGACGATGCACCGAAAGCCTGCCCCTGCCCATCGTACACATGCTCTCGACCTGTGTAGGACTCTAACCAACATGAAGCTGTCATCGAACGCAGCGCCATGGCCGAGTTCTTCTTCAGGTCGGGCTGTCGGCGCAGTGAATCACAATGTTGGCGACTACCACGCTCGGCTGGTATGCCGCCGCAGCCGGCATACCAGCCGAGCGTGCCCATGTTGTCCGAAAGCTGGCCCATGAGCCAGGGATACCAGATTTGGCAGATCGAGTCGTTGAGCCCGTAGAAATAGAAATATGGCGCAGAAGCGTGACAACGAACGCACCGTCGGTCGAGTGCATGTGCCTGATCTCGTCCTGGAGCTCATAGTCGACATCGAGTGGAGAAGGCGAAGCCCCACATGACAAGGCGAGGGCGGCAAGGAGGAGCATGGACTGGACGGCCTTGGCTCTCGTCGACGCCGATGAATCAATTGTCCGTCCGTCGATGCGAGTTTGGAGTCTTGCTCAGTGACCCTGCCCGCACGTCGGTGGCTAACCACATTAACGCAACGAAAGAGACGGCGGCCGCAAGGCCCTACTTGCACAGCGACATCGTGGACAGACACGATTGGAGGCGCTTGGACGTGAAATGAGTCAACAATCCAGAGAGTTACTCGCCATCCCATTGCATCTCGCCTGACAAACGGACGGCGCAAGAGAGATGGGTGTGGTTTCCGTCAGGACGGCGCGACGTTCGCGCAGGATGCAGTGCGTCGTAGCACGTTCGTCAAGACAGCGAAGCCACCAAATCCCACGCCACTACCTCGATTCATTACTCGATTTGCAGGATGCGGCGTGATCTGTCCTTGTCTATACATCTGCGTGGCCACAATACGTTGACATGCTGTGGTTGTATGGCACGACAAACAGAGCCATGCGCTGGTCCGCCGCAACAAAGCTCTCCTTGGAATCGACATGAACGACATCAATTGACGGAAGCTTGAGTTGGCCTAGCCACGACGATGACGAACATTTCGTACAGACACACAGACACGCACCAGGATGCAACGGGACGATGCCAACCGTGAATGCGTACGTCTCCAGCGGCAGCACGTTTACCTTGGCATCGACCGCGCCGGACACGAGAAAGTCGGATCCTTCGTTTGCAATGTTGACCGCCAAGACAACTATCCCCGCCGTGTGGTTGGTCAGCTGAATGCGTACTAGGCTTAATTCGCCTTCGACCCCGAACTCAGGGATGGCCACATCGACGCTCAGCGGGACGGATGCGAATGCGACTTTCGGGAGCGCCAGCACAGTCGTGACCACGTCGTCCCGGGTTGACTCGCCCGCGTCCTCCGCGGTCCATTCCACGACAACGTCGCCTAGAGGGTGCGGACTCTTGACAACTTGGTGGGGAAGCACGCGGAGCACAACGCTGTGTTGGTCGCCCGCGCCGAGCTTTTTGGGCCGGAAATCTCGCGTCGTTGACGATGAAAAGGTGGCGTGGGCGGAAAGATTGGCGAGCCCGACGCTTTGCAGGTGGAGCGGAGCGGTCGCGGCGAGTTGTGCAACCACCGTGAAGGGAGACCCGACGCGGGCCGCGCGGTTCGGGTACGTCCAGTGCAGCGTCGACGTGAGGGCGAACGGGGCCACGGCATGCACTGCAAAGGTTGTGTCAAGGCTCACTTGGACACCGAGGGCCGTCTGGTACGTCATGTGCACGTTCAGGACAACGTCGCGGGCCGTCGCACAGTGGAGCCACACCGTGAACGGTTGTTCCGAGTGAGGACGTTGAGGGGACGTCAAGGCGGGGGCGTCGGGTCGAAACACGAGTTGGGCGGTCTGTGGACGATTGCCGCCGCCAGGACTCAATGGACTCTCGGCGACGTGGATCGTGTACTGAGGATCGTGAATGTGGTCGTCGTGCGAGTGCAGGACAAACTGAAGCGGCGCGGTGTGGCCCACGAGGACTTGGCTGCACAGCAAGTCGAGCGTGGCGCGCGCTTTGGGCTGCATGACGACGACTTGTCCGCGGCCGCCAAGTCGACCGTCGTCTTCGAGACCGGCGCCGGTCACGTCTTCAAAGTCAAGGGAAGTGGTCGGTTTCCGCTGAAACGACGGCGACCCCGCGCCTTGGCCCATGCCGGGAATCACGCCTTGCATTTCCGCCAGCAAACTGTTGCGGCGCGTCAGGATCGTCTGCGGGACGAACGACGTCACCGTCCAAGTCCACGACACGTCATGGCGGTTGCGGAAGACAAGGCGAACTTGCTGACACATGACAGTTGTCTGGGTGGCCGGCAGCGTCAGCGCCATTTGGAACGTCCGGGGAGTATGCGGCGGCAGGCGGAGGTCGGCCGTGTCGTGGTGCAGGTGTTGGTTGAACGAGTCCTCGGGCGCAAACACGAACGAGAGCGAATGGAGCGACACGTCGACGGGAAGGTACGACTCGACCGTGGCGGTGAACGTCACTGTCTCGCGGACAAACGCCTTGACAGCCTTGCCAAAGTCGACGTACACGGACACGACGTTCTTGAGCGCATCGAGGGCGAGGTCGGGCGGGGATGTCGTCCACTGGTCGAACGCGACAAACAAATTCGCGTGGAGGGTGTCGCGGTGCGTCGGCGCGACAAACAACTCGAGCTTTGGGCTGAGCAACTGCACCGACAACTCGAGAAATGCCAGTGTGTCGCGCTGGTGCGTGGCGCAAATGAGGAGGTGCGACAGCACTTGGCTCACTTGCCCGTACCACCGTTCTTGGATGTACGCGGCTTTGGCCTTTTCCAGCCCTTGCCGAGCCACGGCAAACTCTCCGTTTGCGAGTTGCTCGAGACCGAGGCGAAGCAAGAGGCGGTGTTTGAGGCGGTAGCGGTGGTTGAGATGCACCGTCACGTGGTGGATCGCTTGGGACAGCAACTGGATGGCCAGCGCGGCGTGGGGGATTGTTTTCTCCGCGATCGGCACGATGGCGTCCCCGCCAAGGAACGGACTCGGGGCCGTTGCGACCGTCGCGGGGTCGAGCGATACGTCGTAGGACAGGCCGGCCTTGGCGGCAGCTTTGCGGCGCCACGTTGCGTATTTGGCCGCCGCGCTAAAGTACAAATACGCTTCCTTGTACAGATCCGAGTCGAGACCGGCAAGAACGTTGTTGTGGTAACTGTTTGACGGTGATGCATGCAGTCCGAGCCGCTGGGACTCGAGGACGAGTTGTCCAAACACGTGGTACTGCCGGCTCACGTAACCCCAGTGCGCGCACGTGGCGGCGCCGACGTCGTCCTTCTTGGCGTGGAGAATGGACGGTGGCAGGCGCCCGAACGCAGTCATGTGGCGGTGCAGCTGATCCACGGCACCCTTCAAGTGATGGGATGAAAAGATTGCGTGGTACACAAGTTTGTAGTGTATATACTCGGCCACCGCAACGAGTTGTCGGTGCAAGTCGGCGCCGTCGTCCGCGTCGCCGCCGGCCGCGAGATGCAGCAAGGCCTTGTACGCAGCTTCGTAGTGCAGCAGCATCTTGGACGTGTAATTTCGAAATTCGTAGTAGTGGGCGACCTTGAAGCTGTGGCGGATGCCGACGAGCTTGGTGGGCTTCTTGGCCTTCTTCACGCGCTTCGCCTGCGCCTTGTAGTATTCGACGGCGTTCGTGCGGATCGCCGCTTCGAGTTTGATCAGCGTCGGATGCGTGCGCGATACTATATCCTTGACAAACCAAACGCTCTTGGCATCGAGTTCCGCGCGTTTGCGCAAACTCTGGAGTCGGTCGTCGCTGCTTGGAAGGTTCACCATGCTCGACGACATCGTGGATGCAGGGGATGCTGAAGATGTAGCGTCGTCAAGGAGCTGGACCAACACGAGCAAGATCTTGACGTCGCGGCCGGACAGCGTCCGTCGGAAATCCTCGACTTCATCGCGAATGACCGTTTCCTGGATCGCCCAGTCTCGCGAGGCCAGTCGGGGTTCGAACGCGTAGAAGAGCAGAACCACCGACGGAAGGACTTCGTGGTGCTTTTTGAGCCATCCCGCTTTCCAGATTCCTTTGCTCGGCGACGCCGTTTTGTCCTTTTTGGTCGGAAACACGTACCGGTGATCGAAACTGAGCGATTTGAACTGTACATGCGGTACAAATTCCTCGTTGATCGAACGAAGCACCGGAAGGACACGGGCTTGGATGTCCTTCGGTCCCAGCGCCGCCACCAGCGGCCGCGGCGCCTCCTTCAACTCGACCGGGTACGATTCCATCGTCGCTCCACCTCGACAGCGGTGTGAAAAGTCAAAAGGCTATCCGGTAAACGTATCCGGATTCCATTCACCAACGCGATGTTGTTCTTGCCTGGTGTGGCGGCCGCGGTGGCCATTGTCGCCGCCGATGAAAGCAGCGCAGGAGGATATGCGAGCTGCATGAATAGCAACGTTTGCATGCCCATCAGCGACATCCCAGTTTGGTGGGTGTGCATGCAGGGCAAGGCCCCTGAGTACTTGATCCTTGCCGGTGCCATGATCTTCTTTGCAACGTTCTTGCCGCGCGTGCTGCTGAGCTTCATGCTGTTCATCCTGAGCAAGTTTCCCTTTGTCCGTGAGTACGTGTGTGCTTCCATGCTGCTCCGATATACCTCCCTCCTCTCATGATCGGACACTCGTGCGATAGAATCGTCGACGACTATGTCAAATTCTGCACGACGTCGACGACATACCTTCTCAGCGCGTCGTTGTGCATGGGAGCGACGATTGTCGCCCTCTTGTCGCCGTACTTGTGCCGCTTCCACATTTACGTTTGGGGCATCTTCTTCCTCATGTGGATCTATTCGGTGTTCAACGTGATTGATCGGGTGCGTGCATGCGCTTCATCGTGTCGGTCAATTCATGGCTGCTACCCAGCTCGCGGTCCGTCGGTTTGGTGGGAAGGCCGACAACTCGAAGAAAGTCGTGATTTCCGAGTCGATCAAGGTATGCCCAACGTCGTTGGCATCGTCGCGCGTTCACGCCCGTGGGTAGTTGCTGCGACTGCTCGTGCTCGTGATAGCGTCCATGTACATTTACTTGCAAATGTGGCAAGACCAGTCCTTGCTCAAGTATTCGTTTCTTGGCATGATTGGCGGCGCGATTGCCCTTGGGTTTGCCGGCGCGGTATCGCCCGCCGCGTGCATGCTCTCGCTTCACGAGTAGTTGCGCCGTAGACGCACAATGCGGTCGGCGGGCTCTACCTCGTTCTGAACGCGCCATTTCGCGTCGACGAATTCATTCAAGTCGGCCAAGTCCAAGGCCACGTCCAGCGCGTCGCGCTGCGCTTTACCGTCGTTCTTGGGCTCGACCGCACCAAGATCTTTGTCCCCAACAGCTATTTTCTCTACAAACCGATGGTGGGTGGCGGCGGCGCCCATTCGGACTGCATCGACGGCTTGATGTAGGTCAATTTCTCGCAACGGCCGAAGCGGCAAATCGCCCTCGATATCCACGTGCACCCGCACACGTCCGTGGCGGTGCTGGAAACCCTCGTGCGCGACCTCCACGTGATGGTACGAATGAGTGTCGACTCGGTGTGTAAATGAATGGCTGCCGTAGCTCCAGTCGCGGCACATGGGCCTCACCTCCCACGACGACTACAACGGTCCCGCGGACAAGGCCAAGTTTTGCTTTGTCACGATGGACGCGCTGTACTCGATTCGGTTGTACACGTACACGGACGAGCTGGACGCGAAAAAGCACGCGATGATCAGGTCTGAGGTCTGGCTCGCCGCAATGGAGATCATGGAAGACCTTGGCGTCGTCACCGTGCCGTCGGCGCACTCCCCAGACCACGACAAACCAGCGCGGGACGACCAAGAGCATGGGCCGTGCGCGGCCGAGTACGGGTTCGTACTGTGAGACACACCACCCGAGAATACACACGAGTGGGTGGCAAGCAGGACGTACATGTGCCCGGGGACCGCGCATCGTTGGGCGGCCCCCGGGACGAAGCAAGCAAGCGTGGCCACTGAACGAGCGGTGCTTGCCATGGCGAATTCCATGACGGTGGATAATTGTCATGTAATTGTTGGGAGGAACGTTGGTGTTTTGAGTCGACCGCGCAGTCACCATCGACTTGTGCAAGCATTGGGCCGATCGTTGGTGGCGGTGTCGTGGGTTCGCTTGGTCGATGCCGCCAGCAGCAAGTTGCACGGCGTGGCATGTAGAGTTTTTGTTGAGGAGATGCAGCCATGGTGACCGCCTGAAGTGTTTGCCTCTGTCCTTTCGTAGTGCCTGTGTCCACTCGAGATGTTGGCTGCGCGGGAGTTGTTGGAGCTCGACACGGGCAACACGAGGAGGTCAGGCGCCCTCTGCAATCGAAGGTGGCTGGCCGAAACACAACCGAGGTCGTCGAGGCCCACGGTGCGAGGACTTGTCACCGTGGTGGCTAGGATTGCCGACGTGACCTGCACAGACGGACAACGTGTGTGCGCGCGAATGGAAGGAAGAACAGACTGATCGCACATTAGATACATCCATCCACGGCTCCCAGTTCCGACGCACTGGCCCGCTCAAAGGCTACGATTCAACTTTGACATGGTTCACCAGGTCGTTGTGTGAGGGGATGCCCCATGATCCTCTGTCTCACGTCGTCCTGGGGACGATGTGCCAACGGTCCGCGACCAAGACCCCCCCCCATACGAACGCTCAGAGCGCGACAAACTCGCTGGGGGGACTCGCCTCTCTGAAAGTTGCCGTTGGACACCCACATCATGAGGGCAGGTTCTCTTTGAACAGAGAAACGTATCAAATTGGTCTTGTCGGATGCTCGCAATCGTTCCCAGGTCGATGCTGACGGCGGCCCCTGCGTGGGTGAAGAGCGGTGCGTTGTCGGACGAGCGTGGGTCGACGGGTCGGTGGAATCGCATCGCAAAACGTCATCGTTGACTTGAAGCCGACCGCCGACGGTGCGGTGGCATTGCGACGACGCGAACGGGGGAAGGGCGGACTCCGACACTGGCGAAATTACAATCTCAGTGTGCCGCTTCATCTGGTTGGGGCTGATATGGAGTCGGGGGTGGGGGGGTTACATTTCTGGGGCGTGCAAGCCAGCGTCGCGTCGACTGCGAAACATGTTCCAGCCCAAGGAGAGGCGTACGGCGACGGTAGCCTCATTGGCGTGCACATGCCGCCAATTCGATACCGTTGGCGAGCCCATGGTAGTCTAAGGATCAAAGGAAAGCGACGACATTGGCCAGTATCAATGAATATCACGTAGTCTGTCAGCTTCCAGTCCTTGTCGTCGCCGCCGTCAGCCGTTGACGCGAGTGTTGGGCGCCGCCGCCAACCAACACCATTGACGTTTTAGCCACACAACACACACCCCTTCGAACAGCTCCTCACTCAAACAGTAGACATCTCCCATGCATTCGGTGGCTCCTGGTCATGTCCATCCCTTCTCTCTCTCTCGTGAAAATCGGCGTTATCGTTGCGTCTGCTTGCAACGACACAAGTGGGCAACGAAACCACCAGGACGGAGATGCGCCAAAAACGGTTCAAGATCCATATACGCAGCATACGAAGGTCGCTACCGACGGAGCACCACGGCGCATGGCCACAGTCGGCGAGGAGGGGATCCTCTGCAACCCCGTTCACTCGGACGCCCTCCGTCGCCCGTCGCTGTGTTCGCACGAAACGATCCTCGTGCCGCATCGATGACTAGTGTTTCATTCGGATCAGTGAAAACGACAAACAGTCCCCATGCACACTAGTATAACGCCATGCAAACCCCCGAGCATCCGGCCACACGGACGCGCGTCTCGATGTGTCCAACCCCGATGTACGCGCGGGGCCCCCACCTTATGCAAGCTGTTGTAGGCGCAAGTGACGTCCATCGGGTGGGATTGCCAGTCCGGTGCTCCCCGGACGTCGGCCCCCGCAACTGCACGCCCAAGCGCGGATTCTCCGTCTTGAGATCTAGTCACTGTGAGAGGATGGATTGTACCAACGAACTGATCCCTCTCACACCACCACGGCGGTTTGGAAACGTCCGTGTCAACGTACAGGGTTTCGGTCGTTTCACAGAGGTGCTTGGTTGTGCAAAGTTGTAGCCGTCTTCGATCATCGCACTCTTCAACCCGACTCGAGATGCAGACGCCGTACGGCAGCGAAAACAAGGAAACGGACGAGTTCCTGACCCGCATGGCGGCGAGCGCCGTCCCCGCGCCGCAGCCATCCCGTACCCGACGCCCTGTCATGATGTGCGCGGCCTTTTTGGCCACATGCGCCGCGGGGGCGCTCGGGCTTGTGTCCGAGCGCAATGCAGTGCATTCCACTGCCCAAGTCCAGACAGCCAACTTTGAACTCCAAGAGAGCGGGAGCCTCGACGTCCAGCCATCCCCATCGAGCGACATCGTATTTCCGTGGCAAAGTATCGGCGTCAACTTGTCCGCGACGCCCACGCCGTTCGTGGCAAACTGGACAGCGATCGACACGAACACCGACGGAAGCATCAGCCTGAACGAACTGCTCGGGTACTTGACGACTCAAAAGGATGCCCAGGTCGCGAAAATCGAGGCCGCCGCCGCCGCCGCCGTCGCGCAGGTGCAATCCACATTTGACCAGCACACGAGCTGCATCAAGACCGCGTACAGCGAGGTTTGTATCGATCGATTTCGAGTTGGACCAACGCAACTCACGGGTCGTCCTCGTAGCTGATCGACGCCAAGACTACCAGCGACAAGAAGGAGATCCTGACCGCGTCGGAGCTCGGATCTGTCCTCATGTACGCTCGCGACCACTGCTACTACAAGACTACGCCGACACCCACAACTGCCGTGGACGGTGGCGACGTCGTCATCGCCACCACCACGCCAGCGCCGTCTGGAGCCACGACGACAACAAGTGCCCCAGAGCCAAGCGCCACGACGACAAGTGCCCCAGAGCCAAGCGCCACGACGACCACACCAGCGCCAACCACGACGGCGAGTTGGGCGGAACCGACCACGACGACGCCGAGTGTCACGTTCTACGTCCCATCGCGCGAGGAAGTCCTCAAGGAACTGGCTTCGTCCATCGATGTCCTCGGCAACCAGACCAACTTGACCAAGGCGTTTGCGCTTGCCGTGCTCAACCAGACTCGAGACAATGTGACGGCCAAGATCGACACGACGTGGTTCAACTCGGACGGCGAGCGCGCTGTCGCCAGGGCCGAGGTGGCCAAGTACTTTGGCACGCTCACGTCGTGCGTGAGCATCGCCATGTCGATTGTACGTTGTCCATGTCGATTCGCTCGGTGGCCAACCGGCGCCTCATGTGGCAATGCCTAGTTTGGACGGTACATCAATGTTCTCGATGCGTTCGAGCTAGCGCCCGCGCTCGCGTGGATTCGGACCACGTGCATGGACACGTCCGACGCCAAGTTTGGCAAGACCGACACGAACCAGAACAACGTGATCGAAGAATTTGAAGTGATGGCGGCAATCGTCCAGATTCGAGACAACAAGCTCGCGGCCCTCGCCAACGTGACCGACCCGACCGCGTACCAAGCTGCGTTCTTTGCCACGCGGCAGTTGTACGGACAAACCATGGAGTGCGCGCACAACGGCATCACCCAGGTAGGATATTTGCATGCACTGGACGCCCCCACATGGCCCTCATCCCGGTCGCAATGTAGTTGGGGGACCCGGTCGCACGCACACTCTCACGCGAACAATTTTACGGCCTCGAGGCGTGGATGCTCAGCCACTGCAGCCTCGTCGAGCCTGACGTGACTGTCGTTGGCCTCCTTCCAAACGCCACGATCCTTGGCGGCAACTTTTCGCTCGGCAACATCGTGACATTCCTCGCCGACGCCAAGACCATGTACACGGCGGCCGTGCCTGTCAACGACACGTACCACGCCGCTACGATCGAAGACCACTTCCGCCTCATCGAAGTGTGTTTGAACGGGTCGTATGTCCAGCTCAACGTGACGGTGCGGCCGTCTTGTCCGACAACCACGCCGTCGTCCTTACCGTCGTTGTGGTGTGTGTAGAACGAAACAGCGTACGCTTCGCTCGTGACGACTGTCCAGACGTGCGTCGCGAAGAGCGTGCCGGTCACGATGCCAGTGGGGGTGTTCCTCAGCCGTCCCGAGTTCCAAGCCCTGCTCGAGCTCACGTGGGCCGCTGAAAACGCGAGCTTAGATGCGCAAATCCGCCAAGCCCAGGCGGCCCTGGACAAACTCAAAGCCAAGAAGGCTGCACTTGCAACGTGTATCGTACAGGCCGTCGACAACGCGGCGGCAGGCGAAGCCAAGATCCCGCAATCCCAGCTCGTCCCGGCGCAGAGCTTTACCAAACAGTGCTACGTCAAGGCGACGTCCGCCTAGGACCATGTAGAAGGTGTCTGCCCGGTGATACAAATATACGATTCCTGTGGATATGATCTTTTCGCGAATTGCTTGGGGTTTGCTCGAACCTTTGCAGGAGTGTTTGACCGAGTGAGTCCAAGTGGCGCAGTCGTGCTAGCAAGCCACCATGCCATCGACAAAGTTGAAACGAAATGGACTGCATCGGTGTTGCGGTTGAGTTGATTGATGGCAACGAGATAGACGACCAACATGCGCTCGGTGGGAACATGCGACATCACCTGCCCAAAGCGTGCGAGACGGCCGGGAGGTGCCTGCGCACGATGCCACACCTTCCGCTTCTTGTCCTTGCCCTACGACCGATACGACATATACATCCCGTCCCACGCTTCAATTACCGATGGTATGTTGTGACGGCTGCTCGTGGTCGAGTGCCTGCACGCCCCCGAGATCCAAGCCGTCGTCGCGTCGTCCTGCGGCTTCAGCTGGCCTCATTATGACCAGCTCCAGTTGGAAGGCGACGCCGTCTTTCCACGGGGGATGCCTAGAGCCTCCCTAGGCATCTCTCCCAAAGCTTGCCAGGCTTTGGACTGTCGACGTAAGTTGCCAACTGACCGAGGTGATATGCCCACGTCACACTGACCTTGCCGCCCCCGTTGTCGAGCTTTCCCATTCGGGTAGAATGCCGTTTAGTTTGGCCAGCTACTGCAAGCCGTTGGAAGTGCCCGCCAACCACGCCACCTTCGGCTGCCGCATCGCCGACAGAACGTTCCTTGAATGTGTATATACGATCCCAACCGCACTAAACGCTCATGACAGCACGTCGAAACTCCTCGTGTCCAACACCTCACCATGACAGAGGGCGGCTTGACCACACGCCATCGCTTGCGCGGCCGACTCGCGGCCTCGAATGTCCGTTGGGAGCACGACTCGCCGCTGTCATGGCCCCCTCCAGCGCCTGTGCAGGCCGCCGCCAGGATTGAACTCGTTGCCGTCATCCACGGTGGTGGCCGATTGTATCCAACACATTCGAAGATCGCACGCTCGTGGGTGGCGCCGCGAACAACAAAACTCGCCCATCACTCTGGCCAATCTCCGCCGACAACGTGCTTGGACATCGCAGTTGGGATTTCCCTCGATGCTGCCAACGTTTGCATCGTATGGAAGTGACACGGACAGTGATACACAAACGCTGACGCGGCCGCTGCTCGTCAAGACCAAGAAGGCGCGTGCGGGACTTGCCCTGTTGAGCGCCACGCTCGTCATGACCAGCGGCGCCGGCGTGTACGGCATGTTCGACGCCACGGCCATGTGTCAAGCGGAAGGCGGCGCAGTTTTGGAATCCACGACAAACTTGGCGGCGATCTTGCCACGTCCTTCCACGACAGGTGCAGTCCCGACTATCGTCGTCGTTCGCGCGTCTGACGTGGACCACGGACAGAGCAGCAGCCCCGACAGCTTGTCGATCGATGGAACGAGACGCAGCAACTCTTTGACCGCATCGACGTGGACGGCAGCGGCGCCGTGAACTTGACCGAGTTGGTGGCCTTCCTGGAACGCGAGCGCGACAACACGATCCACGCGATGGACGCAGCGACATCGACTGCCATCCAACGCATCAAGGACGAATACTTTTATCGAGCGCAGTGTGTCGCGGACGGCTTCAACGCGGTAAGGTTTCGCTCGTGGTGGCCCGACTCGTTGACTCGATTGGGTGCAGATGGTACAGCACGCGACCGAGTCGGTGGGATCGCCGGACGAACTCGCCCTCGTGGTCCGGTGGGTCCAACAGCACTGCAGCGCCTTTTTTCCCGAACTCGCGACCATCCCTACCACCACCACGACGACTACGATAGCGCCCACGTCCAAGGAAGAAGATGGCACGCTCTTCAGCCGAGACGACGTCGTTGCGTTCGTCAAGAACAAGACGTCGTCGACGTTCTTTTTGCAATGCACGGTGGACGCCCTCGACCAGGTGCCGCCCGTTGCCCATGGACTTGGCGCTCACGTCGACGTCGCCCTAGTTCCCTTCCACGAAACAGTTTACACGCCAGGACATGGACAGCATCCTGCACGTGGTGCTGAAGTGCTTGAGCTCGTGGTTCCTCCACTGCAAACACGCCGCACGACTGTATTTTGGCACGAACGGGTGAATGGCCAGCACCGTCCTGCGTCACTTCGATGGAGCTTGCCGTCCCCAGCTGCCCGTTTTGCTTTGTCCTGGCCAACCCTGGAAAAGATGGAGGAGGATTCGAGTGCACGGGGTGGACGTGAACGGCTCTCGTGCGGTGGCAATCCTCCGCCACGTCATGTAACCCACCGGCAAGTGTACCCTCCCCCGCTCAACACAAAGATCGGCGCCGCATGGACTCTCCTCGAAACCCCGATGGTGGCCAGGCAGTGGAACTGGGCGCAGAGTTGGCAGAGACCACGACCGCGATTCATTCTTGAACTCTACATGCAATCCTGTCCCCAAGCTGTTGGAATCGACAGATGCGGCGTGCCGACGGCAGGCACGCGCGACGTCGCTGCCACCCAGCACTCCAGCGTCTGGAGCATCCATCTTCCTGCCGCCGCGAAGTTGTCACCCCCACCTTGGCTCAGGTTGAATGCATCCATCTCGTGCTCTACAGTCGCCACGAGTCCAACAACAAGCTGCTTATTCTTTCGTGGCTAGCGTACTCAAATACTTTTCCAGTTCGTCAAAATCATCGTCTGCAAAGTCGAATGCGTCGCCGTCGGCTGTCGTTGCGACTTCGTTCAACTGGTTCAAGTCTTCCAGCAGGCGGTCGTCGTCGAGCTCGGCTTGTTTGCTTTCAAACTCGACGGCCGCCACCATCACGTCCGTCGGCCGCGTCGTCGCCGCCACGTCGATATCCGCGGGTTCTGCCGGCACCGCCTTCAGCGCATCCATCAAGTCTTTGTCGCAGTTTTCGTCCCAGCTGCCTTTTCGCTCGTACTCGACGTGAATGTCATCTTGTTCCGACACAATGCTAAACGTCGACGCGCCAGGGATCGATTTCTTGGACGCGTCTCCCTTGGCGGCGGCTACCATACGCGCCTTGCGCTCGTCAATGTCAGTCCAGAATCGCTCGTCCTTGCTCAGCATTTCGTCGTACGCTTCCTTGTCTTGCTCGGAGAGCGCGACGCCTTCGCTGCGTCCACCGCCGTCGTCGCTCAACGTCCCGTCGCTGCCACGGCTCGACTGGACAGGTGCAAAGATCAAGTCGACAAAAAAGTCGGACGCAAATCGATTGTCTTGGCACGCGCCGTCCAGCTGACCCTTTGTCAAGCGGAGAATGCCCATCGGAATGTATCCCGTGTGAAACGCGGCGCGGAACATCGAGATGCGGCCACCACTGTCGGTGAGGTGGCGACACCGGATCAAGATGTCGCCTTGGAGCATGCAGTCGACGTGGAAGCTCAGCGACAGGTCCGATGTGCTCACCCACTGGACGCCCGTGCCTTCTTTCACCGCTGTCCACGTCGTCGTGAACATGAGTTTCCCGCCCTTGAAGATCTGTAGGTATGGACAACACCCTTCTTCGACCAACTCGGTCAGCCCATCTTCTTCGACGGTCGTTCGGGACCCAAACACCGGGATCTGGTTGATGATCACGCGGCGCAGCAAGAGCGGGACACTGCGCGGTTTGACACCGTCCAGGACGTTGGTAAAGTATGAAAGGTACCGCCGCTGCGACGGTATCGTCAAGCGCTCGACTGGAGTGCGACATCGATCTCCGACATGCTGGAGCGCTTCCATCGGCGAGTCGAACAGACCCACCCAAGCCAAGTAACATGCGACAACAGTTCCCGTGCGTCCCTTGCCGGTCAAGCAGTGAATACATGCAATGTTCTTCGGGTCGGCGGCACACCAGCTTTCAATGGACGCGCAGATCTTGAATAGCAAGCCTGGCACTAACCGTGACAAATGGCCCAGTGGACACAGAGAGGGTCTTACCTAGGGGCGGAGCGGGGTGTCCAGGAAAGTAAAACTCGAGCACTTGGTTGTCAAAGCACGTGTAGTCGTACGACTCCTCTGACACACGTGAGTGAGCTCAGAAAGGACAGAGCGGGCAGCACAAGTACCGCTGAGATTCCAAATCATGTAATGCCCCTTGTGCTCCGTGTTGAGGTGCTTGGCGACGGCATCGATTGGGTTATCCTTAATGGGACCCATCTTGTGTCCATTTCCCTTGGTGGGAAATCCCATCGCGACAATGTCGTCCGTGACGTACGTGAAATTGAGCGACGATATGTCGACTGTCGCGGTGCCGTCGAGCGCATGGTTGAGTTTGCGCTGGAGCGCGTCCATGTCAGCAGCGTCCAATGCCTTCTTCACCTTAGCAGACCCTTCCTTTGCCGCATATGTCGCTGCACTCTGCGCCTTCTTCATAAAAGTAAACATACCCGACGCTGCCGCGGACGCTGCTGCCGACGCGGCAGCCATCGTTTCCGCCGACACGATTTGACTGCCGCTGTCAGTACGAGAGGGAACGGACGCTTCGCCGAAGAGACTCACGTCGTCCTCTGCCTTGGCATCCGCGGACGGAGACCTCACCGGCGCCTTGACGAACTTCTCGCTCAACCGCTTGAACATGATGATCTCCAAATGGCGAAGAAACTAGCCTGGATTCATGTATCCGGATTTTCTGCCAATGGTATCCGGATATCTTCTGTCCAATTATTTCCAATATTCGAACGAATTCGAGGTACAAAAGTTGTTGCAAATACAACGAAAAGTTATTTTGGGGTAAAAATCGTCATGGGATAGATATCATATTTCTGTCCTCACAATTCCGCGAACTGAGGCAATTCAAACTCTGGCGCGTGTTTGGTCTCAACTCCTGCGTGGTTGTCGACAACGGTGGGAATGCTTTCATCGACACCCGTATTCGTTTTTACACTCAAGTAAAGCGACACAGTATGCCCTCGTACTGGAAGCAGCAGCACTTCTCCTAGGTCGTTGGACGAACTGCATATTCTGGATTTTGTTTCGCATCGAGAAAAATTGAAATTTCTTGGCACACAACCTTCACGTGCGAACCGATTGGACATTTTTGCGAAATTGAGCATGAGACTCGGAATGATACCAATAATTCATTTTCGGATATACAGTAATGTAATTGTGCGAGAGAATGGAGGCGGAAATGTGTACCAAATTCTAAAAAGTTGGGCATCAAAAAAACAAGATTGATACCGATAAATAAGCTGAATTAAGTGTCAAAGTAAACCTTGACCGCTTGAGCAAAGTCGACCATGGCCGAGTTGGAGAGCACGCCAAGGACGACGGGGAGGACGAGGACGAGGCAGCCGGCGACCCACGCGGCGGACGCGAGTCTTCGGCCGTATTTCCACTGGTCGAACGCGTAGCAGAACATAGAGGACGGTTGGATGGCGAGGGCGGGCTCGATGGCACGCGCTGACGCAGGTGTGGTTATGGCGGCCGTCGAGGATGGCTGCGGTGGAAGAAGCGCGGGGACGTGCTTCTGTTGAAGGTGGACGACGCACGTGTCACACGTCCGGAGAGTCGTCCAGTAGTTGGTATGGATGCGGTGCGTCGAGCACGACCCACACACGACGTGGCCACAGATCTGGCAATTGTGGCGCAGGAGGAACGTCGCCATCGTGTTCGAGCACACGTAGCATCGCGATGTCCTGGTCTTGGGGTCGTACGAAGTTCGGTCGGGGACGCGGGTCGAGCCGAGGACGTCCGGTCCAAGGTGTTGATGCGACTCCATCAGCAACGTGGCAGGAGCTGCCGGTTGTGGCGGGATGGATGGCCGTCTTGGAAACGACTCGAGCTCATACAGTGTTCGAAATCGCTTCAGGAGCTTGTATGGGGCATCGACCGCGAGTGCATTGATCACGACCGCTGGCAGCATGCCGCCAAGGTCCATGTGGGCCATCATAGTCACGCGGCACGCGCCGCCGTCGACGCCATCGACGACATACCCCGAGATATTGTTCGTTCCTCGAACAAACTGCTTGGTCTCTGGCGCTTTCGGGTGGGTCGTCGATCGCGATGCAATCACGAAGCGGTCCTGGTGGTCCGACGCAGACGACGACCCTGCCACCTCGTGCACAGCGGTCACCACGACAAAGTCGCGAGCGGTCGTGGGGAAGACTGGCTTGGCTTGGACGTGGCGCACCGACACGCGGCCGGAAAAGTCGGCCAGGACGTGGCAACTCGCTGTCATCGTATCAAACGTTGTCATGTCGGCTGGATTTTGCAGCTTGCCGGCGAGAAACCAAGCGGGGCACTGCACGACACAAGTCGCCTTGACAGCGTTCCAGTCGGAATTCGGGACGGCTCCGCGGTACACGGCGATGCCGTCGTGGAGTTTGACTTCGGTCCACGCAATAGTCGACGCGTCGCTGACATTGGCCACGAGCAACTCGATGCTGGCGTTGCCGAACGCAGCGTAGTTGTCCAGCGCATCGCGTGCAATTGGCGACCCGTCCACCTGGCCACCGTTGGGCGATCGACCGGGGTCGGGTCGCGCCTCGGTGGACTCGTTTCGGCATGCGGTCACGTCAGGCAGGAGGCGTCGTCGTGGCAGCGATGCGGTCGCCCCGGTCGTGCCATAGAGCTCTCGGACCTTGTTCAGTAGCTTCGCAGGCGCTTCCACCGACAACAGATTGATCACGACGGCCGGCAGCATGCCGCCAAGGTCCATGTGGGCCATCATGGTCACGTGGCATGCTGGTTCGGGACCCAAGTCGACCGGGTCCAGAATGTAGCCCGAAATGTTGATGTGGCCTCGGACAAAATTGGACGTCGCGGGGGCGGTCGCGTGGTCCATGGACCGGGTTGCAATCACAACCACGTCGTCGGGTTTGACCTCCATCGTGGACATCACGACAAAGTCCCTGGCGGCCGTGGGGAAGACGGGCTTGGCCGTGATGTGCCGCACCGACGTCGTCGAGTTTGGCAACGCCATCAGCACGCGGCACGACGCCGTCATGTCGTCGAATCGAACGATTTCGGTCGGATCCATCAATTTCGACGCCAAGCGTGCTGCGGAACAACGAACGACGCCAGTCGCTTTGACCGCGGTCCAGTCGGAGCCTTGCACGGCGCCGCGGAACACGTCAATCGCGGTCGACGTCGCTTTGACGTGGCTCCATGTCGTGTCGACGCAATGGTCCGACGCTTTTGCCAAGAGAATCGCGACACTTTCGCACGCAAATTGCTCAAGGCCACGTGGAGTGCCGGGGTCCGCGCCGCTTGAACATGGCGGTTGAGTGTCAAGCGGCGGCGGCGGCGCGCTGCGCGACCGCGACGTGTGCGCCACGGTCGACTCGATGGCCCGCGTCAGCGCGCGAGTTTGTCTTGCCACGTCGGGGACACTCGCGTCGTGGGCATAGAGCTTTCGAAATCGACGAAGGAGCTTCCATGGGGCGTCGACCGCGAGCAGATTCATCACGACCGCAGGCAGCAGCCCACCAGGGTCGACATGCGCGATCAAAGTGACGTGGCACCCTACGGACGACGCATTGCCCGCCACAACGACCACGACAGGACGGAGGATATATCCTGAAATGAAGTTGATGCCGCGGACATACGAAGCAGTGGGCGGCACGCCGGGCCACGCGGTCGATCGGGATGCAATGGCAATCGTGGCCGAGTCGTCGACGACTGAAGGCGCATTCGTTGTCGTCTCCACGACGAATTCCCGCGCTTTGGTCACGAGCACGGGCTTGAGCTGGACGTGGCGGACACTGGTCGTGGTGTTGCTTGCGTGGTTTGTGTTGAGGATCGTCACGCGGGCCACCATCTTATCGAAGCGGGGCATCTCCGCCTCGTCGATCAACTTGGCCGCCAAGAATGCTGTGGCGCACGGTACGATCCCCGTTGCTTTGACTGCGTTCCAGTCGCAGCCAGGAACGACGCCGCGAAACACCGTGATGTCGTCGACAACCTTTTCTTCCGACCACGTGGAAGGCTGGGCGCACGTCGACGCTGGCGACGATGCAGGCGACGTTTCCATGGCCAAGAGAAGGCGGACTGTGTCGTCGTTCTCGTCCAAGCCCGGCATGTCTGGTCGCGGTGGTCCGTCCCTCGGCGACGCCTCCTCGATCGAAACCCACCGATCGACGAATGCCGTCGAGTTCGGCGTTTCGATTCGGTGGTGCAATAAAGTCCAGCCAATCAGAGCTATTCTATGCATTCCATGGCCAATCAAGTTGAGGAAAATCAAATATTATAGCCAATCCAAAGCGAGTATGAGTTAGCTACGCCAGAAATAGCCGTCGTAATCTGCAAGTCAAGTCTCCAAGGTCGTCACAATGCCCACCGCAACGACAGAGCGCCGCTGGCCCGACCGACATGCAGCGCTCGATTTGAACGCTGTCGCGATCGGCGCGTCATGGAAGCATGCACTGCCGCTGTAGCAATCGAGTACATGACGGCGGATGGTGGACGAGGACCTTTCCATTGTGAATTCAGTGGCTTCCCACCTAAAGCCAAACGGCGCGGGCGGCGGCGAACCTCGCCCGTGCTTCGTCTCTACAGTCAAAAGGAAAGGAGAACTTGAAACGAGATGGCGAGGGGTAGGCGAGCAGTGCCCTTGCACAGATCCATCTCGACGTGCCAAACGTACCGCACTTCCCCCGACTTCACATCGATGCCTGCATCTAGGAGCTACTTGGACCAGCGACAAGGTAATCCACGAGGGAACATGGAGCGCCATGGCGGGCATCTAGCCGCCTTCACTTGTGGACAAGCTTTGAAGAATGTCGCCAGGCAGACGCGTGGTGATCGCGAGTTTGCGGTGGTGGCAGCAGCACCCCAGACACATTAGCAGCCACCCGTCGACTGCCCTTCCATCCATGGCATCGTCGAGGCGATACAGCGGATGCTGTTTAGAAACATGCACGTGGCGTTCGCAACAAATAATCTAGAGCATCTCGACGACGTCGAGCGGTGGTCGTTCGCTGCACCGTCCATGGCGGCTGCTCAATTCACGCACGCACCGCGGCAATGGACATACGTGCGATGGTCGAGATGCTTGTCGCGACTGGAGTGTGCAAACATGTTCTTGTCGATGGTGCCAAAGATCCGCGGAGTCATCCATGGGGGCACGACGGCAAACACCCTGGCGAGGGTCGGGACGAGCCAGTAGACCGGGATCAGAGTGAGCGTGTGCTTGGAAAACGACGCGGTTTTGGCAGATTGGTCGCTTTGGACGTGATACCGATCGGCCGCCACGTCCACAACAACGGCAAAACCGAGGACGGCTTGTGTGCTGGGCTTGCAAAAGAGCTTGTTTCCGATCTTGATGGCGTTGGTTTGGTCTAGCGGGAGGCCAGTGATCCAGCGGGGGAGGCGGCATTGGTTGAGAAACCCGTTCGTGGATGTCCAAGACGTGTGGAGGAAGACCCGCCCGGTCATGGACACGCGGACGAGCGTCGAGTACGCGACGGACACAGCAAGGCACACGGCGACAGCCGTCGCCGTGCCGGCCAAGTTGTGCGCGACGACGGTCTCGGCGCCGTCCGCGGAATATGCCCCCGTCGGCCGGACAACGCCTGAAAAGTTCATCCCGAGCTGCATCGGCGCGTCGTTGAAACCAATCGCCACCGACTCGTACCTGCTGTGCCACACCACGATCAGCGACACGATCGTGCTGTACGAGAACACGCCTGGCGAGAACGACACCAAGCAGCACGGCCACGGACTCGGCACGTGCTGGACGGCGACGAGCACCACGAGCGTCGCAAATGTGAAAAACATCCCGACCAACACGATCGACAGCGACCAGATGAGGTCGCCGTTGGCCGTGCCGCGGTAAATCCGGGCCACGTCCGCGTACAGGAGCGACGGCAGCGCCGCCAGCGTCACGACAATTAAGAGGAGCTTCCGGCGCTCGAGGCCAGCCAAGAGATCGTACGTCATGACCGGCTTTTGCTGGAGAAAACCCCTGAGTCCTTGCACGGTCAGGTAAAAGTCGCTGCTGATCAAACCCATCGCGAGCAAGCTCAGGAGCACTTGGATGCTGATGAGTTCGGTCGCGTTCGCGACGACGTGGCCGGTGTCCCAAGTCAGGGACACGACCTTCTTGGACTCGCGGCCTTGGTTCCACCACGTGAGTCCGCGCGTGCAACTTGGTCGGTGAAGTCCAGCACCGCCGAGTACGCAAACGCTGTGATTTTGTACCGACCGCCGACCGGCGACGACGTGATCACGGTGTTGATGCCGTCCACGTCGTCGGACAACGCGCCGTCGATCGAAATGAGCGACCGCTTGATGTTCGACATGACCAAGTCCACAGTCCCGTCCGTGTTGACGTGGCGCTCGCTTGTCTGCATCAACTTGTCTGACCATACCGTCACGACGTACGCGCCCATGGGGTACTCGTCCCGGACGGTGGTCTCTGCCATGGCGAGGCCAGCAATGTCCTGTGGCCCGTTCGTTGACGGGACGCAGTGCGGGAACGCGTCGTAGCCGGCGACGAACGTCAGCGACGCCCATCCGACGTTGTCCGGCGGGCCCCGGACACACGACGTCACAAACAACGGCGAGTCGACTTGCCAATGCGTCGCGAGGCTCTGGCCAAGCGCGCGCCACGCCGGGCTCAGCATGGTCGCGATTTCATCGTCCGAACACGTCGCCGGGACGAACCCGGCCGCGTCGAGTCGGCACGTTTGACCAAACGCGTGAAAGTGCGTCGAGTCGAACGTGATGTCGTTGATGTTGGCGCGCCGAGCAAACATGCCCGCCGACACGAGCACAACGATCGTGACGAGCGACAGCACGACGAGGCCGGTCGCGACCAAGTTGGACACGATGCGAAGCGACGAGTGCACCATCGACGGTCGCGTCGGGACCGACCGCCGCATGGCCACCGCGGCATGGTCCAGCGTCGTCGTCATGGTGCGCGTTGTGTTGTGGCTAACGATCGTGCTATTCCGCGACGCGACGTACGACTGGTACGCAGCGAGAACTCTCCACCCGCGCATGGCAAGAGAATCGATGAGTGGGCCATGCAACGAACCAAGGCTCGAGCTATATTTGCATCACGAGGTTTCGAGCGATACCAAGCCAGTCATTTCATCCGTCGTGTGGACGGCTCTATTTTCAGCTGTCCGTGTTGTGTCGCACTCGTTCTGGTCCATCTTGCTCGACTCGATGGTTCGAGGTGGTAGCGTCGGCGATCCAGTCCGGCACACGCGGACGAATGCCAACAGACATGGGCATGACAGCGCTCGTCGAGAGAGCGTATTGTTGTCGAGGACAACCCACGTCGCTCGTGGCGCCACGACCGTCGAACACTCGCCGATGGTCTCTACAAAGCCGGTGCCCATCGCATGGTGCGGTGAAGTCGGTGCGTGTTGTTGGATTGATTGACTGGGTACACTAGTCGCGATCGCGGCGTCGCTGCCTCGACGCGTGCCGCGATGCCTCGAGGTTGGTTTCCATGAGAATGGAGAGGTCTCTCATGCTCGTCATGGTGGGGGTGGTCGACGTGCGCCTGTGATCGATGCGAGGGTCGTAGGGGTGCTGTCGCAGCACGCGGTCAACGTCCGTGGATGGACCTGTTCGGGGCAGGCTCTACCCACGCAACCACGTTCATATACAATACCATCATGTGCAGGCAGCAACATCTGACCTCTTCTCGCGTGCATTTGACAAGGGCATGGTTGCGGCGCACGAGGTCTTGGATTTCACGTTTCCACTTGTTTTCCTAGCCAGTGATATCCCCCGTGATAACAATCGTCAACACGTCTAGCATAGCCACAGGATGAAAAGCGTGCACCGACCTGTTCGGCCGCCGATGCGCGCAGCTTGGCATGTTGCCGCGTCTGGTAGTCGACTTCGTCCTGCAAGTCGTGCACGGCCTGGCGGCACTCTCGTTGGATGCGCTCCATTTCGTGCGCCGCCGCAGTCTACACATGCACACGGTGCATCGTCACCACGATGGGGCCGCTGGACAAACCTTCGCTTGATGCAGCGCTTCCTCCGACTGCACGTACGCCTCCTGGAGCTGGGTCGAAAACTGCGCCTGGGCAGCCTTGCGGTCTTGCCCCGCCAAGTCCAGAAACGTTTCGAGCTCGACCTTGTCGTCGGCGAGTTGGGAGCACCGCCGATCGAGATCATCTCGTTGTTGTTTTGCCGCGGACAGCTCCGTTTGTAATCGACTACATTCGTCTGTCAATCGCGCGATCGTGTGCTTGGCGACCCCGAGTTCTTCGGCGACGGGGGCAGCCATCGCCAGCACCGACTTGGACACGTCTACTCATCCATTCGTGTTCAGTATCACAACGCATCCGCCACCACAAAACACGAACCGCCAGAGTCTTTCCGCCCAAGCACTTGCGGGGCCCGCTGCAGCTCATCTTTAAACGGTTGGACGGCCGACGCAATGGCGTTATCTTGGCTGGTCGCGATCGCGGCGAGGGTGTTGTCGATCCAACTGTGCACAGCTTTCTTCCAACCCCGTGGCCAGCACTCGCCACTTGCCATGTCGCTGTCCCAGTCTGGGAAAGGCTTTGTCTGTCCCGATTTCGCCACGGCCTGGCTGATCCGTGCCATCGCGTCGCAAAGCCCCGTCGCAACCTGCTTGACGCGCGCCAGCTCGCTGTGTGCACGAGAGAGGTCGGTTTCAAGGGTCGCGACGCGGGCTTGTTTTGCAGCCACCTCGTGCGTCGTCTCGAGCAACTGGCGTCGCACCTGCTCGATCTCTTTCGCCCCGCCGTCTTGTTGAAACTCGAGACGCTGTTCGAGGGATTGAATGGTTATAATGTGGCGGTGGACGACTCCGGTGATCGCTTCCAGCTTGGTGTCGCGCTCGCTGATCAACGTGGTCAGCTAGCAACGCGAGTTGGAGCATCATCGTTTCCCACGCCTCTATTCGCCATCGTTTTGTACCTCGGCATGCGTTTGTGCGGTCGTTTCTAGGTGCGCGTCGAGTTGCTTGCGAAACTCGGATTCGAGCGTGTGTCGCTGCGCCGCCAACTCGGCCACGTGCTCGTTGGAGAGTCGCGCCAAGTGACTCGCTTTGTCCATTGCCCATTGGGCTTTGGCATCGGCGACGTGCTGCGCCGCGTTTGCCAGCAACGTTTGGATCATCCCGCGTGCTTTGGTTTCGACTTGCTGCGCAACTTGCCTAGACTGCACGACGTCTTGCTCGAGCAACCGGCGAATGTGGAGCTGGACCGCCGCGAACTCGCCCTTCAGCGCACGCACTTGGCTTTGTACCGCGTCGACAGTACTCTTCCACTCATGCATCCTTGTTGTTTCGTGGACCACGACCTACGACGCTCGGTTGAGGTGGCCCCTGCATTTTCAAGACGCGCGGCGATCGACCTCGTGCTTCCATTCGTCCTGGGCGTGCACCGCCGCCGCCATCGATTGTTTCTGCGCTATCAAGGCAGCTTTGTACTGATGCTTCTTGCGCTGCATCGCCGCCAGGTCCCCTCGAGTCTGGTCGAGGTCGTTCTGCACCTGACGGATCGTCGCCGCATGATCCTTTATGGATTCGATCAACCTGGCATTTTCGACCGTGTGGTGCTGGTTGTCCGCCGACAGCGCGTCGATTCGCGCGTGGAGGTCGACGGCTTGCGTTGCCCAACTGTCTTCCTTGGATGCCATGTCGATTTGAGTTTGCTTTGTCGCGACCGCGTGCTTTTCCTCGGCCTGTCGCACCAACTCCTGCAAGTACGCAATCGCGTCGGCCTTGTCCTTGAGCAGCGCCTGCAGCGCCGCCTCCCGCTCCGCCGCCACCGACTGCGCCGCGCGTCCGTCTTGTTGCAGTTGTTGGATTGTAGACACATGCCGATCCACGGCGTCCCGTAGCTCGGCAGCCTCGCTCTGATGGCAGCGGGTCAACAGCCACCAAACTCGACAACTCTGCGCACCTGGGACCGGTCGAGGTCTATCGTCAGCTTCGTCGCATCGCCTTGAGCTGTCTCCAATTCACTGCGCAGACTTGAAAACTTGTCCTCCCACTGCCGCAGCGCACTTCGTTGGTCGTGCACGAGGGCTTTGAGTCGGCCCAGATTCACATTCGCTTCTTCTAACCTGGACAAGCAGTGAAAAAATGTACCGAAACGCGTCCAACATGTTCAGAGCGCGTTGGGCCTACCGCTGGACGACGACGGTTTTCGCCATCGATTCGTCGTCGATGGCGGCGCGACAATCCAAAACTTGCTTGCGCTCGGCCAACAATGCGGCGTGCAACTCGTCGCCTTTTTGCTTTTCAACAGCGACCTGTGCCTTCCACGTGTCGAGTTGTGCCTCCAAAGCTTGCACCTTTTCGTCCATGACATGGCGGTGGGCCTCTTCCCACTGCACTTGGTCTTGGCGGTGCAGCGTCTGGAGCTGGAGCGTCAACTTCGCCTCGAGTTTGTCCAGTTCTGCTTTGTGTTCGGTCATCGAGACGACTTGTCCAGGGAGTTGCTTGGCTGCTTCGGCAACTTTGCTCTGATACTGCTGCATCAAGTCGAGCTCGTGGCGTGTCGATTTGTGATGGAACTCGGTGGCTGCCTCAGCTGCCTTGCTCTGTGCCGCCACAACCTCCGTCTGAAGCGCCGCTATCGCCGTCTCGTACTTGGACTTCATCGCTTGCAGCAGCGCGTCGTGCTTCTTCATGGCGGCGTCCTGCCACTGCATGCGCTTCTCAGCGTCTTCGTGGCGCTTGGTCGCGTCCTTTTGTGCTTGCAATGCAGCCATCAGCGACTGCACCTTCAGCTCGGACATGCGCTTGTAGGCACCAAACTGGTCTTCCACACTAGCGCGAGCTTGCTGCTCCTTCTCGAGGGCGGCAAGACCTTCTTTGGCCACTGCCGCGACCTCGCCCTCCAATGCCGCAACGCGCTTCGTCATCTGCACTTTGAGTTCGCCACGACCAACGTCGCTCGCCGCGGCTCTCGCTTCCATTTCCTCGAGTTGCTGCAGCGTATCGCGTAAAACGCCGTCGCGTTCTTTGATTTGGCCCTCCAGCGATGCAATTTGCTTGGCCGACGCGTCGAGGAGGTCCTTGGAACGCTCATCGCGTTGGCGGAGTTCGTTGGCGGCTGCCGTGCGCTCCTTCTCGTGGGACTCAACAAGAAGTGCTCGTTCTTGGTCGTGGTCGTGAATCAATCCTTCGACTTGCTCGCCAACGGCCGAATACTTGCGGCGAGCTTCCCACAGATCCATTTCAAGCGCATGAACTTGAGCTTGATGCGTCGCTTTCAAGTCGGCCATTTGGCCCTCCAGGGGCTGCAGCGCACCGCATTGACGCCTTAACGAGTCGATCGTGTCCTTGGCATGCGCTAGCTCGATGGCCTTCTCCTGTGCCGCCAAGCTCAACGCTGTGCAGTCGGCACTGAGTTTCGTTCGATTGCTTTCCAAGTCGTCGACTTTGGCGGTCAGCAGATCGATCGTCTTTGCAGCTTTTGACCGCTCTTCTGTGTAAAACGCTGCGTCCTTGGCGTGTTCCGCTTGTAAACGGACCAAATCTTGTTGCACGGTAGAGAACGCGCGCCTTTCGTCGTCCCACGCGGCACGGTCAGCATCCCTGGCCGCCAGTTGCTCAATCAACTCTTGGTTCTCATGACGTAGTCGGTGGACTTCGGCGTCGGTGGCGTTGGTGTCGGTGGACATTGCGGTATACCGTGCTTGCAACGCTTCGACGTGGGTCGCCACGTGATGTAATTCGTCCATCAGAGCCTTTTTCTGGGTCGCCATGGTTTCCTTGTCCCGCAGGAGTTCTTTCAACGACGCTTCCTTCTTTGCAAGCTTATCTGTCAGCGTGCGAATGAAGTGCTCCTTTTCGTCGCACAGCGCATGGGCCACGAGTTCGTGGACGCGCAAAGTGACAAAGTCATTCGACACGTTGTCTTGCTTCAGAATCGCAAGCGACTCGTCGGCATGGATCTCACCCAGAGCTTTCTGGAATAGCTCGCCCAGGCTTTGCAAACGCTGCTCATACGTCTTCTGCAGAACTGCATATCGGTCCCGGTACTTGGACTTGCCGTCACCGCCGGACGACATGCATGTGACAGTTTCAAAGTCGGATAAAATGATATTATCCGGATAAGGCGACAATATATTCTCCATCACAAGATATTTTTTCTCTTCGTGGTCATAAATATAATGAAACGCTTTGTGGCTGACACCCATCGAATGTATACGCAGTCAACTTACCATATCTCCGACGTACAAATGGGCAACCTCAACGATCCTTTGAAGATTGGATATATCGTGGACGGGCTTGGCCGAGCTCCCTCACACGGTAGTAGCAACTTCATTGTTCTGAACGTTGGCCCGAATATGCCATACATGCACGAAATTTCACGAAATATAATTGTTTACGAAGAATTTACAGTGTTAACAACATCTATCGAAAAAGAACATGATAGTGTTGTATACTGATTTGTGGCAATTCAAAGAAATCGAATTAATTCCGGACGGCGAAGGATTGAATTCTGTTCAAAATGGATAATAATCGAATATTGAAATGGAGTTGAAGTTATATTTATATATAACTTCAACTCCATTTCAATATCCGATAATAATATTGTAGTGGTTCGTTTCTATTTCGTCGACGCCAGGATTCGTACCACGGAGTGGGTTGCTAACAATCCCCGACACTTTTCGGCGCGTCGACCAACTGGCGTTGATATACGTCATCGTCACAGTCAGTATGACATTTGGAAGCATCCATCGATCGTGAGGGCTGATGTTTTCACTGTCGAATCCATCGTCCTGCGACCACGATTCTATGCTACCGACGTTCCATGTGGACAACAGTGGACTCGATGGGGAAAATTCCCTGTCGGGGGTTTCTCCGTGGATATTCCTCTGGTTTGAACGCCGTGCGACATTTGATTGGATGGAATCCATGGTGATGCGTTATGATTGGATAAAATTTTTACCGCGAATCTTGCCATCCGGGAACATCCGGATAAAACGCTCAAATTGCATACGATATCAAGTTCCACAACCGACTGCGACCACGGCCATTTTTGAATTCACGCGTGGACAAGACAATGGCTCCTCTGACCCCCGAGGAAGAAACGTTGTGCATCAACACGGTGCGCATGCTCGGTGCCGACCAGCCGACCGCCGGGAATTCTGGGCATCCTGGCGCTCCCATGGGATGTGCCCCCATGGCGCATGTCCTCTTTGGCAAAGTCATGAACTTCAACCCGAAGAATCCGGCGTGGACGAACCGTGACCGCTTTGTCCTGTCGAACGGCCATGCGTGCGCTCTTCAATACGCGATGCTCAACTTGACGGGCTACGATGTTTCGATTGACGACTTGAAGTCGTTCCGACAGTGGGGGTCGAAGTGCCCTGGACATCCCGAAAACTTCTGTACTCCCGGTGTCGAAGTGTCGACGGGACCGTTGGGCCAAGGTCTGTCGAACGCGGTGGGGTTGGCGATCGGTGAAAAGCACCTTGCGGCGGTGTTCAACAAGGAAGGCCATGAAATCGTCGATCATTACACGTACGTCATTTGCGGCGACGGGTGCATGCAAGAAGGCGTGACGTCGGAAGCGTCGTCGTTGGCCGGTCATTTGGGACTGGGCAAGTTGATTGTGTTGTACGACGACAACTTGATCACGATTGATGGGTCCACGGATTTGAGTTTCACCGAGGACGTGGCCATGCGCTACGAATCGTACGGCTGGCACGTGCAAACCGTCACCGACGGCAACTACGACCACGAAGCGATCCACCGCGCTGTGTTGAAGGCCAAGGCCGTCACCGACAAGCCGTCCCTCATCAAGATCCGCACGATCATCGGTCTCGGCTCCAAGATTGAAAACACGTACAAGGTGCACGGTGCCCCGTTGAAGGCCGACGATACGGAAGCGATCAAGTCCAAGTTTGGGCTCAAGAATGAACCATTTTACGTGCCGGACGTGGCACGCAAGTTTTATGACCGCAAGGAAGCCGGTGCCGCTGCGGAAGCCGCGTGGAATGCCAAGTTTCAAGCGTACGCGGCCGCGTACCCCGCGGAAGCTGCTGAATACACGCGCCGCTTTTGCGGCGGGCTCCCGGCAAACTGGAAGGATGCGTTTCCGCGCTACACGCCGGCGGACAAGGGATTGGCCACGCGTCAATTTTCCGAAAAAGCGCTGAACGCTGCCGCGACCGTGTTTCCGGAGCTTGTCGGCGGGTCGGCGGACTTGACGCCGTCCAACTTGACGCATCTCACGATGACGGGCGACTTCCAAAAGAACACGCCGATCGGTCGCTACCTCCGCTTTGGCGTCCGCGAACACGCGATGGCGTCGATCAGCAACGGTCTGTTTGCCCACGGCGGTCTCCGCCCGTTCTGCGCGACGTTTTACAACTTTATCGGGTATGCGCTCGGCGCGGTCCGCGTGTCGGCATTGAGTGAGTTTGGTGTGATCTACATTGCCACCCACGACAGCATTTTCCTCGGCGAAGACGGTCCGACCCATCAGCCCATTGAAATGAACGCGTCGTTGCGGTCGATGCCCAACATGTACTTGTACCGCCCCGCCGACGGGAACGAAGTGTCGGGCGCGTACATCACGGCGTTGGAAAACCCGACGCAAACGGCCGTGCTCGCGTTTACGCGCCAAGGCGTGCCCAACCTCGACGGAAGTTCTCCCGAAGCGGTGGCCCTCGGGGGGTATGTGCTGCAGCACATTGTGCATGGCGAGCTCGACATGACCTTTACGGGTCGCCCCGACTTGACAATCGTGGCAACGGGGTCGGAAGTGTCGCTCGCGATCGACGCCGCCAAGCTCCTCGCGAACAAGAGCGTCCGCATTGTGTCGATGCCGTGCCGCGACATCTTTGACCAGGCGACTCCAGAGTACAAGAAGTCGGTGTTTCCGTCGGGCGTCCCGACGCTGTCGGTGGAAGCTGCCGCCACGTTTGGCTGGCGCGACTACTCGCACGCGCAATTTGGTCTGGACCGATTCGGCGCGTCCGCCACGATCGAGCAACTGAGACACCACTTTGGCTTTAACGCGCCCGCGGTGGCGGCCGAAGCCCAGAAATTGCTCGACTACTATGCCGGCCGCCATGCCCCGTGCTTGTTTGACGTGCCGGCGCGCCGCGTCGTCAAACAAGGCCACCACTAGGACCGTTCGCGATCCAGTTGAATGAATACAATGTGAAAATGACAGCGCTGGCGTCGACAGAAGGCGATGTTATCCCCCTTCTCCCGTCCATGGCACGCAGAGCCACCAACACTGCGAGACCGTAGCCGCGTGCAGGTCCCTCATGGAGTACATGGACACTGCGGTCGTCCAGTTGGCGTCCGCGATGCACTCGACGGCACCCAGCAACACGATCTGACGGTAGATTTCCCCTGGCAGGTTGAGACATGCCCCGGCTTGCCACCTCGCCGTCGCGCACAACTGCAAGGATGAGCTAGGTGGGAAGCGCATCAACGTGGAGGCGTTTGGGTGCGGCAGCGCCATTGGGCAAGCGGGCTGCCCGCGAGGTGGAGCGGTCGTGAAGGCGGACGATTTTTCGGGAATTTTTGGCGAAAACGGGGTATAAATTCCGAAATTTCCGACAATTGTCGTGGACGATCATGACAAACCCGCACGACCTACACGGGTGGAAGGCCCGCGAGCTTGCGCAGCTCTTCGAAGATCATGAGAGTGATCATGGTGTGGGGCCCGATGCGCATCCAATTGGGGAACCATCCTTTGTACAGCCCGCCAAAGCCCTCGCGCCGGACGATCTTTTGAAATGCGTCGATCGACCCGGTGTACATGGCGGTCGACTGGTGCATGATGCGCGTCTTGATCACGTCGACTACATCCCTCGACATTAGCAAGACGACAACGCGTAGCAGCCATACCTGGCGACGTGACGGTGGCCGCCATGAAGCCGGCAAACATGCTGCACACAAAATGGAGCACCACGCCTTCTTCCAATACGTTGTGGTTGATGAGCAAGTGCTTGGAATGGTCATAACTCGGGATTTGGGTCGCCGTGAGCAATGCCGCGCGTTTCACGGTCGGTCCGACGCCTTTCCAAAGCCCTTTCACGCCTTCGTGTGTCCAGATGTCGAGAAAGGCCTGCCGCGTCGACGAGTACCGGTTGCCTTCGCCTTGCATGCGCACTTTGATCAAGTCGGTGGGGTTCGCCAGCGCGCTTCCGAACGATCCCGTGATGGCGCCCGCCGTGATTTTCTACAAGAGGGAGTCAGGCATATTGACCAACGATGGTCTTGTTACCATGTAGAGCGGTGTGGACGACGGATCCGTGGCACCGAGGAGTTCCTTCACGGGCTCGTACGCGCCGAGACGAATGCCCGAGTAAAACCCGTCGCGCATCAAGGATGCAGTAAGGCCTTTGTAGAACCCGCGCCATCCTTCTGTTCGTAGAATCGTGTGGCCGCCTGCAACGAACCCGCTGTACCGCCGTGGGGCATTCGGCGGGAGCTCCCCTTCCAGCTGCATACGCGTCTTGAGCACGTCAATGGGGTTTGTGATGAACGCGGCACTCAAGTTGGCGCACCCAGCAAGAACAAACTTGATGCCGATGCCAGGCCGAGCCGCCGCCACCGCCGCCGACGGAGTCTGATGATGGTCAGCAAGTGCCATGTTGTCAAGTGACGCTTGAGCGTTGCTGGCGGAGGCATTTAATTGACTCATGTACTGGATATTTGTCATATATACATTATTCAATGTATATCATCCGCGGGAGACAGTAATTAGTGTGAATTCACCTTGTATCCGTTCAAGTTTGAGTGTTCTCCGCGTTGTTTGAGACGTTAATTAGTGTGAATTCAACTTGCGTCGGTTCGTATTGGAGTGAGCATCATCTTGATTCGGCAATTGCATGGAACATGAAGCAAATGGCGCGGTCGAGGGCTTGTTGCTCCGCCATGCACAACCCTGCATTGCCTCTATGTGCGACTGGGTTTTGTATCCACGTTGCTGCCAGTTGAAGTCCGATGTGGGAGGCACCTTCGCTTGATTGGATAAAAAATTCGTCCAATCCGATACCGCAAAAATATATTATAGCCAATCGGCGTGACTCATCGAGCCATTTCGCGTCGTGATTCGTTCGTTGCGGCCTGGTTTGGCATTAAAATACGGAAACCGATTCCAAAATCCCGAAACCCCGCGTCCATATGCTGTGGACATTTTCATCCATATCCGGCATTTTCATGTATCCGGACTGCATCCCACAAGAGGAGCCGCAACAATTCCGCGACTCATGACCAACGTGCTGAACACGCTTGGCGGTGTGCCTCACGGGCGCGATGAGGCTAATTATTCGACCTTTTCAGCATAACAGGCCATGAAGGTCGCCCTGCCATTAACCACGTCTTGATGGGGGGCAATCAAGTTTGTAGCACTCGGTGGGACGTGCTGCAAACCACAACAAATCAAGACTTTGTGTTTCGTTGAACATGGATGGAGCACGACATGAAGCAGTCACGTGCAGCCATCGCCACAACTGTACCATTGAATGCATGTGCAGCTGCCACCCCGGCATCGTGGCTGCCAAACTTCCACTGTCGGAGCGAGCCATCCGTTCCAAATGGTATCGTGTAGTGACGAGTCAAGTCACGCTCGCTAGATGGAAAGACCAACGCCACCACAGTCGTCTGAACTAGTGCAAGCAACCGCACGAGCTGCTCAATCGTATCGACAGTCCAGCCCGGCGTATCGACCATCGACTGGACGAATGCAGGTGCACCAGCCAGAGCAAGGTACAGACAGCTAGAATATATCGGTGACTGCGTCGCCATGGCTAAAACACGGTCAAACAACTGCAATCGTGGCAACGGAATCATCTCTAGCCAGCGACGTCGTCGTCCCTGCTGCCCGACGATAGCAGAACGTCTGCGACACTCTGCACTTCGCCGTCCACTTCGTATGTGTGTCAAAGAGGATGGGAACCGTCGAGCCTGTCCAAGTTGGACAGGTGAATACGCTCCACGCAACGTTGGCACTCGAGCAACGCACGTCGTGGTGTAAACAAAAAAATCGGCGACTCATTGCAAGGCCGTCGAGTCTGCGACCTCTGGGCGGCCCGGTCAATCAGAGTGAGTGTGCGGAAACTAGATTGGTCAAGGTACGCAGCCTCGGCAGCAGGTCACGGCCTGGCAGTAGCACAACAAGTGTAGTCGGTGGTTCCGTTCATGACGACCGAGTCGCGCTAGTCAAAGTGAAACTCGGACATGACAGGGTAGTGATCCGACAGATCCGTGATCCACGCTCCGTGGTCATCGACCCATCCTTGCTTGGCCTTGACCGGAAGCACTTGAGTCGCGCTACTCGTTGGTTGCCTGTGCCTCGTCGACGTCATGACGTAGTCCAACCGTTCGGCCTTGCCGCCGCTGCTCATGCCAGACGACGCCAGCACGTTCGAGATCGGATCGAAGCTGTACTTGGGTGTGTTGTCGACTGCGGCGGGCGACTCGACGCCTAGCGTCGCGGTCATCCAGTCGTACTCGGTGCACGGCACGGCGTATTGGTCCACGTTCAAGTCGCCCGCGACGACCACAATGTCGTGCGGCGGGATGTGCTTGGATTGCATCCACGTGGCCAGCATCTCGATCTGCTTGGCGCGGCACTTGATGGCTGCTTTGTCGTCCCAAGCTTGCGTATGCGTGGCAAAAATGTGCACGGCTTGGTTGTCCTTGATCATTTGGACGTACATTGCGGCTTTGTCGACCACCCGTTCGACTCCGATCGCGGTAGACCCGTACACGAGTTGATCGGTGTTGGCCAAGGGGTACTTGCTCATGACAAACACGCCGGAATGAAACAGCTTGAACTTGGTGCGACCGCCCGCGATCGTGGTTTCGTACAGGAATCCGTGGCGCTTCATCGCGGTGGTCAGGTCTTGCTTGGCGCGGTCGTCAAATGCTTCGCAGAACACGACAAAGTCCAAGTCGGGCGGCAGGACGGCGGGAATCGCGGCCATGCGCTCGCGTTTGTGTGGCGACAGGTTCAACACCGACGTAGCAAGCGGTGGGAGGCACCAAATGTTGTACACTAGCCCGCGCACAGTCAACGGTTCTAGTGTGGACAACGAGGACGTAGGCGGTGCCGCGTGGCCATGATGGAGACCCAACACGACGGGGGCGGCGTCTGACGACAGCACGATCGAGCCGTTCGTGGCCGCGGTCAGCCACAGCCATTGCCCCGGCTGTCCGCAGCACTGTCCATCTACTTGAAAACACACGTCGTCTTCCGCATGCACAACGTCGCCGTCGGCAACAGGCGGCACGATGCGAAAGACCGACGCCTTTGACCGGTGGCGGGTCTGGCCAACGTGCCCGCTGCGAGTCGCCTTCAAAAACGTGCCGCCCGGCCCTCGAAACACACACACGTCGTGGAACCGAATGGGGTGACTGGCGCTTGCCAGTGGAGAGACAGACTTGGCGACAAGCGTGACGATCTTGGCCGTGTCCGGCGTCATCGTGACGCATGCAGGGGACAGCGCGTGTGGCTTGGACATGCCCGCATGCAAGCCGGCGCAGCCACGCCATTGGATCGGGTGGCCGTACAAGATGGGTTGCGAAGCGGCAGACTTGACCGGTGCACAGACCAAGGTCGGAAACCCAAAGGCAGGTGGGCACAGTGACGAGGCTGACGAGTGCAACGAGCTGTCGGTGGGGACGATCGATTCGTCCCACGTCGAGCACGGGCTGGGGGGGGCATGCGTGCAAAAGGCGACGGGGGAATGCGGGCCTTCTGAACGCCTCTCCGCAACGAACGCCTGAACGATACCGCTACACGACACAACGTGAGAATCGAATCGAGTGGCTGCCATGTCCATGCCTGTCCACGACGTTGTGAAGCTCCAGCACCCGATGCAAGTACTCGTTCAAGTCGACCTGTAGTCGACATGCATTGTGGTGGCGCCGTGTCTGCTTGGAGAGAGACCAGGTGAACGGAGACAGCGTCGGTAGGTCAAGCGACGTAGTGTCCAACGGAAAACTAGCCCATACGCGTGCACGAGTGAGTTGGATCGTTGCCAGGCGTGGAGTTTGCTCGCGTACCTGCTGCGCAGCTGGTCGTGCAAGTGCTCAAAGTCATGGTACACACGGTGCACACACCAGGACGTATCGGGCGCATGCACGACGATTTCAAACCACGGCACGACATCGTGGCGACTCTTTTCAGCGGCCAAGTGCGTGGCAACGATGCCGATTTCCGTCGTGGGCGGCAGCAGACCCATCGAACTCTCCACGTCGGCGCGAGCTGGCGCTGAAGAATGCCAAATGCCACCCCAAACGACACCGTTGCGTAATTTTCGAGTCGACACGTAACACGGCTCAGACTTCTGGTCGACCTTGTCCAACAACGCGATATGGCAAGGACGTGCGGCGACATCACGAGCAGTTCTTCATGCACAGAGGGCAGGTAGGCCTCCTGGTCCTCGCAGCGTTATCTTGGAGCGGCTGCGACCACCACCTTGCCATCGACTCGACACTTCCCCCGACCCCGTGGATGTTGACTCTACATGCCGCGTTGTTGCATGTCCGTGTCGCATGGGAACGGATCGTTCAAGAAAGCGCAATGCTTAGTTAATTTGACGGATTCCGTGCTACATGATTCGGCAGATACGAGTAACATAGCAAGTCGGAACGAATATTTCGGGCAGGATATTTTTGCCGCAAGGCGCTGTTTTGAACGTAAATTTTGAACACGATTTTCATATGTCTCGCCCTACTCCGCAAACTCGTGCGTTGCGGTGGCCGAGGCACAGCCGCGGGCGAATGCGGCGGACGTGGACTCTGCCATCGTCGTCCTCGATACGTAGGACGGAGCACCCGAAGGAATACAACGAAAGCGTCGACCGACACGGTGGAACCCTCAGGTGCACGGCCATGCTCGTGATCGAGCCAGCACGAGTGTGGCATGCTGGCATCTCCATAACCACCGCTAGGCCATGCTGCCTGCTGACGCGTCGAATGCAAGCGCTCCGCAACACCCGACGACCAGCTCTTTTCGGCTGTAACATGGTCGAAGCAGCGGGCGCAAACGTCGACCAACATGTCTCGTAGCTCGTACTACTTCAACGGAAAAAAGTACATCTCGTACTGGTCGAACGGAAAGGTCCACCGATCTCGACGAATTCGGCTTGGCGCGAATGTGTGTGCGGGGGGCTTTTCTCAAGACTGCATGCGGTGCGTGGCCCAAACAACTTGAACGAGTCTTAATGCGCTTGTAAAACACAACTTGAAGCCACACGGCCGAACCATGGCGTGCATTCCGTTCGCTGCGCGTTGGCCACTTCTCACGGATCGTTCGACAGGATTGCTCCGCATTGCAGTGTATTAGGACGGCGTTTGTACTACTTTAACGGAAAGGCCAGCAGAACTTGACACCCAATATGGATGCCTTTGGGTTTTGTCCTATATCAACGGATTGCGTTTTGTTGAATTTTAAATCGAAACCGAGACGGTCAAATAAATACAAGCGAGGCGGCGGCGCGGCGGCGGCGGCGCTACCCAAAGTGAAACTCAGAGAGGACGGGGAAGTGGTCCGAGAGGTCGGTGACGATCGTGTCGTAGAGCGCCTTGTCTTCCCATCCGTGGTCGACCTTGAGCGGGATGACTTGGGTCCAGCTCGACGTTGGTTGCCGGTGCTCGGTGCCGACCATAACATAGTCCAGGCGCTCCTGTTTCCCGCCACTGCTCTTGCCTGTCGACGCCAGGACGTTCGTAAACGGATCAAAGCTATACTCGGACGTGCCGGCGATCGTCTGGGGGTTTGTGGCTTTCAACGTTGTCACCATCGTGTCAAACTCGGCCGACGCCGAGTCGATGTTAAAGTCCCCGGCATACACGACCGCATCGCGTTTCGGGATCTTTTTGCTGTCGACCCACGCGGCCAGCATCTTGAGCTGCTTGTCGCGGGCCGCGACTGCCGCGTCCGTCTCCCACGCTTGCATGTGCGTCCCCACGACGTGGATGACTTCGCCCCGTTTTTTCATCTGCACGTAGATCGCGCCCTTGTCTGCGACCTTGTCGTCGGCCGCCGCCGCCGCGCCAAACAGGAGCTCGTCGTAGTGCTCCAGGGGATACTTGCTCATGGCAAACACGCCCGAGTTGATTGCTTTCGCCTTGAACCCGCCACGGCGCGCGCCGGCATTTCGTGTCTCGTACAGAAACCCGCGGCGCTTCATTTCCGTCGCCAGGACGATCTTGGCGCCGGCATCAAACACTTCGCAAAACACGACAATGTCGAGGTCGTCGGGCAGGGCGGCCGGGATCGCATGGGCGCGCTGGACCTTGAACGGCGACAAGTTGAACAGCGACGACACCCACGGCGGAAGAAACCACACGTTGTACGCCATGGCGCGCACAACGACCGGTTTCGGCAGCGGTCGTGAGACCGTGCAGCTCTTGTCTTCGTTGGCCAGGCACGGATGGTTGTGTAGGACTAAGTGGCACACCGCGGGCGCGCCGTCCGTCGTGATAAAGTCCTTATGCACCGCGAGGAGCTCATTATTCCATGGCGTGGTGTCGTCGGCGACTTGGAGGCACACGGGGCTGCCACACACGATCGGGCCGACGTAATGCAGCGGCGACACCCACCGAAACACGGACGCCGCCGCGATCGACGACGCCAGCGACACGTACCCGCGCTTGCTATCGACCGGGAGCGCGACCTTGGCATATTGGTGCTTGGACACGTTGACGAGGCGAATCGGGTCGCCATAGTGCACCGGCCGTGCGGCGCCGCTGAACGGCGACGCGCTTTCGACGAGAAATTCGTCGTGGACGACTTGGTCCTTGGGCTGCACGGACATCGAGTGCGCCTTGCTCAAGTGGTGCTTGCCGAGGGACCCGATCGCGGCGATCGTGAGCCCGACGGGGCCGCTGAGTAGCACCATGCCCGCGCCGCCGGCGGCCACGGCGGCCATCTTTTGACTGCCGCTCCATGCGCTTCGCTTGGTCAAGCCGACGCGAAGCCCGCCACACGTTCGAATCGACACCGCGCTGCCGTATAACACGAGCGACGAGCAGTTGGACGTGACTTGCACGACAGACGCCACGGGCGGCAGCACGTCCAGCGGCGTCCGCGCTTGGTGCATCGTGGCGCCGGCGACCATGTCTTGCGCCGTCAACTTGGCCGAGCTCACGTTGTCGCTGAGGCGGAGCGCGTGGTGCAGCTGCCAGTCGCGACCGGCAACGAGTGGCCCAAGGTCGTACGATTGCGATGCCGTGGTTGTGGATGCTGTCGAGCACACGGACTCGTTCGATGTTGGCGACACGTCGAGTTCCTTGGCATCGACCTGTTTGGTAATCGACATGCCACTTGGAGACGACGTGGCCGGGTCGGTGGATGCCACGTCAAAGTCGCTGTCACGTCGAACGAAGAATTGTCGGAACACCCCGCTCGTGTGGACATCATGAATCTCGAGGAGGCGGTGGAGGTATGCGTTGAGGCGCTCGCGCATGCGCTTCGCCGACTGCGCGTACCGCGCCTCGACGGACAGGTGAAACTCGACGCGGGATTGACGGGGAACGGTGATGCGTCGGTGCGTCAACTTTTTGTGAAATCTAGCCATGGGTGAGCATACGCAAGGGAGCGCGATGCCGTCGATGAAAAAGGCACGTACGTGGAAAGGAGGTGGCGATGGAGGTCGACAAAGTCTTGGTACGTCCGCCGCACGATCCACTGCTGGTGCATGTCTGGAAACGAGACCAAGATGTCGTACGTGACGTGGTAGCTCCATCCAGACGGGAGGAGCGTCATGTGAATGTCGACGATGCCGATCTGGCTCGACGAAGACGCCCACAAGTGTGACGTCGCGTTGTCGTCGTCGCTCGTGCTGCCTTCCATGTCGAGCGGGGCAGGTGTCGTCACTTCCTGGACCATCAGAATCGGCTGGATGGGTCTGCGTGGATTGCGCGGAAGCTGGTAGTGCTCGTAGTAGTGAAACGGAATAAGCCCGTCGTCCAAGCTGGACTCGAACGACGTGCACGTCAATGGAATGGTTAAAGGGTTGTCCAGAGGGTAGCTCTGGAGATACGATGCCTAGCTGCCAGTGGGGTCTTCAATTTCGTCAATGAAGGCTCCGTGGGCGGCTGTGGGATGGCGTCGTCGGAGCGGCAGTTGCGCGGCCGAATCTCGAGATGCGTGTCACTCTCCCAATACGATGACACGGGGACGATGGAATTACGTGCATCATTTAATTACATACAAACCGTAAGATCCAAGGATTAAAAATAGTCACACCGATAGTCAGTGCGTAAAGGCTGCGCAGATATTTCATTTTATTCTCTTGGTCTTTGTAAAGGCGTTTCGCGTTGTTTTAAAATTCATGCGAATCAGGGCGCCACTGTCGGATTCAACGCCAACCAAGATGGAGCCTTGCCCAGGGACAGCGTGTTGGCGGCGGCGCGAAGCACGACGGGCAAGCCGAGTCTGGTGCTGCGACCGTATGGACTAACCAAGCGGGTGTGGAGTATTTGGCCCCGTTCGTCCACTTCCAGGTCTGCTTCCATCTGAATCCGACCCCCCCACTCCAACAAACGTGACGGGTGCCGTGCGAAAGCGCCATGTTCCTTGAAGCTACCTTTGGCCCCCTTTGGGACTGCATGTGGAGGCGGCACGTATCGAGGCAAGATGGCGATGTGGCCGTGAACGGACGGAGCTTGCCACGTACCTCGTCATGGACAGTTCATGTTGTGAAATATTCCGATTGGGTGAAATCCACCCGACGACCGCTAGCTGTGGCGGACAAGTGCTGCCATAAACTACAGAGCCCACATACGGCGGCACCGACGCGTCGGCAGTCGACTCGGGCAGTCGACGGGCGCATCGCTGGTATGGCGCAGGCATTGCTTGGCGAACGTTGCTGGTGATTCGAGCAACTCGGCATTGGAGGGCGAGAAGCCGGATAAAATTTCCGGATGTGCAGCTCCACCACCAAACGAGACGGAACAACGATGGCGACGTCGCAGGTATTTGACTTGTTCGGCGGGCGGACGCTGCATGTGGCGTTCTATACGGACGTGAAGAACAGCGCGTCGTTGCTGCATAAGATCCTGTCCAGCGATCTCAACGTCGCCCTCATCAACGCAGACATGGTATCGTTTCCCGTGGGGCCGTCGCGCCGTGTTGACGGTCGTGTAGGTTGTGAGTCTGTTTCAAGTTCACGTTGCTGCGTCGCGGGCCCTGCTCTCTGCGCAGAACCACTCGCTCACAACCAACTCCCTCCACTCGGAGCTCGTGTTCAATCTGTCTGGGTCGCGCAACGTCACCGACTCGCTTCGCAAATTTGGCATGAGCAACAACGCAACTCAGGTCCTTGTTTGTGCGTTTGACGATCGAGGTGTCCTCGACGCGGTTGACATTGACGGAACACCGACACCCGTGACCGCCATCGACAACTGCGCCCACTTGACGCCAGATCACGTCCAAGCGCTGAAGAAACACTACAAGATTCACGACGTCGAGCTCCAAGTGACCACACTCAGTGACGCCATCGTGAGTCGAATCGCCACCAAGAACGTCAATAAGTAACAACACGAGCAATGTTTCATGCGTTTGAGCAGCAGGGGGGCTTGCCACCCCGTGCTGGTCTTGGTTGAATGGGAGTTCACCAGCGCATATTCGACCAACATTGTGAACTGGTATGGAGCGACTCGTCAGCCGCCGTCGTCGGAAGGCTGATCCTCCTGGTCGATACTTTCCCGAATTGATTGTCGCCCGCAGCAGCCACGTCGACACCACGACGGCATCAAGGCTGGACGCTGCTGCTTCCGTCGCGCCAGTTGTTCGATGGATGTCTCCAGCAAATTTTAGATGCCGATGCTATCGTCGGCCTGGCTTCCACGGCCACCGATGTGCCAACACACGGCGCTTCGCGCAATCGTGTCCGTCCAGCTTTGTTTGAAAATCTGGAAAAAGTATGTTACATCGTCATTTTGCTTTATTTGAATGCTGCGACGACTTGATCGTGTTTGGGATGCGTGGCTGCAAAGGCTGCGACTTGGGCTTTCTCGTCGGGGCTTAGAAACATCGCAACCATGGCAAACCGCGGCACTTTGGTCAGAGCCAGGAGAAACTCGACGCCAACATCGACGTTGGTTGCGACCAACGACTCGATCAAGTCGCTGACCAAGTCGGCTTCGATCGAGTCCTTGAAGAGTTTGGGAAGCGACTCGGGGCGCAGGCGAAGGAGGTACTCTTGGCGCAAGGCGGCCTTGTCGGAGCTGTGTTTGAGGCTGTTCCATACCCTAACGAACTCGTACGCCGTCGACGGCGCTCTGTCGGGCAACTTGACTTGGATTTTTGGCACCACTGTCTTGGCTTTCGCGGGCGGTGCAGGGTCGACCGTGGCCTGTGCGGCCACCACGACGGATGACGACGTCGGTGCGCTCACTGTCGGCGCGATGGTCTCCACCGATATCTTGGTGGTTGGCGACCGTTTAATCGACTGCTTTAACACGTCGCGGGTCGTTTTCAGATGGGTCGCGATTGCTTTGTTCGTCGACTCGAGACCCAAGGCAGCTTCCAAGTCGGCGATGGCAGCATGGTGCTTGCCGAGGGCGTTCCGGGCCGTTGCACGACGGACAAGGGACTTGACGTGAGTTGGGTCCACCGCCAGCGCAGACGAGCAGTCGACTTCGGCTTTCCCATACTGCTGGAGCTTCAAATGCGCCATTGCCCGATTTGACAACACGATGGGGTTGCGGGGATTGTAGCTCAGCGATCGAGAGTAGCAGTTTATGGCAGCCGCGTACTCGCCCTGCTTGAAGTGGTTGTTCCCGTCTTCCTTTTCTAGCACATCGCGCGGCAGACTCACTGGCGGCGGAGGCGGCTTCGACGGTGCTGTTACGACCTTCTTGGGAGGCGCGGAAGTGCGAGTGGGTACTTCAACAGGTACGTCATCGCGGGATACAGAGTCTGCGTCAATTTCCTTGAGCGCTGCATCCTATGCATGTACATCATGGGTGCGATTCGTTCGAGACGTCCTTGCCGGTCCCTACCACGTCGAAGGATTCCCATTTCTTGTATCCCTTGTCATACACATGCTGCGATGGTGCCTTTGTTGGTTTGTTGATGGGTTCTGACCTTGTATTCATTGGGTGTTGGATGGAGACGGATCCTTCCGACCCACGGACATGCAGCGCGACTGGACGGCGAACGGGTGCGGCAGAGCGGCTCGGGCCTTTCTTGAGCTGCTCTTCTTTCTTGGCCATCGACTTTTCCCATGAACTCAAGTCCGAGAAGTAGTCTTGCAAGTACGACGCATTCTCACGGATTTGTCGCTGCACAGCCAGGCTTTCCATGGTGTCGGCGGCGACGATGGCACTCGAGGTCTTGTTCCACGAATTCCGTGCAATACGTCGATATCCCGGATAAACTGATCATTCGAACAATAATTTATCCGTACGATACTCCAGGGACGGAACGAGTAGGTTTTTTACACCTCCATCAGAGGCCTCAGAAAAGGTTTTAATAAGGTTTTATTAATAGAAAAATATTATTGAGTACCTTAATTGCCCGTAATACCGGTAAGTCGTTTGTCCGGCGGCACCCGCGGCCTGACCGCGCAGTGTTCCACGACCTGTTTAGAAAGTTCCCAGAATTCCGAAGATGATCCATCAGGCAGCGAAGAGTAGGGGAGTGGAGTGGAATTGTATGCAGAATAACCTAAGGTTTTATTGTCTCGAATTGAGGTTTAAATGTTTTTAACCTATAACCTTTTTTCCTCTAAAAGAAAAGGAGTATTTTTCCATACCTATGATATTCATGATGCATCGACGGTATGAATCAAAATACTGTGTAGTAGACCTTATCGTTCGATCAACTACTAATCCAATCGTTTTTTGTATAATCAATCATGCCTGCTAATAGTTGCATTTACGCATCGCCGACACTCTTGTGCAGTGAGCATTTCAATGGTATCTACTCCGCAAAGCTCCAACATGGTTTTAGCCAATACATAGCCAGCAAGTACAACTGCCATACTGCTACGATTCGCAATGTCCTTGCTCGTACCAAGGACCAGGGAGTTGCGGAAGGCAACGTGAAATTGTCAGTCATCAATCTGTACATATATTCGTACATATATTCGTACATATGTGCGTTGTTGTTAGTGCGCTGTCTTCTTGTCGTCGGTGGGACAATTGTCGGCGTAACCCCCCTCCTGAATCGAATTGCGGTGGCGGAATTGAACAAGTGAGACAATATCTGTGATTTTAAACCTGTGCAATGTTATACACAAAATATTATGTGTTGCAGTGTCCTGTATTTTATTCAAGGAGGCAATAACCACAATTCTGAGCCGCGCCATTATTGCGGGACGGAGGGAGTACACTTTTCTTGGTTGAGCGCTACACAACGTAGGACTTTATATGCCAAAATCAATGTCTCCAGTTTTGAGGAACAGATGAAGTATATACCTTTCCACCAGGCCAAATAGGGAGGTGAAACATATTTCATCTTTGCATCTTAGGAGAATATTTTGGAATATCCATACTGTAAACTTCAATTTGCTAAGGTGCCAAAAAATGTCTAGGTTCTTAGGGGGCAGATACTTGGGGGCATGGCGGGTGCTTATAGCCTCCCCTGCCCAAGTCGGGCCTATATACGAAGAGTACACCGCTAAGGATAAAAGTGGGCCTCGTCGGGGCACGGGTTGTTGACGGTTGAGAGCCATGAGACACACACGGAAGTCCAGCCGTCCTTGCATACGCCTGCCCCCGCGAAACACCTTGCATACCGGATATTAAATCGTCAATTGCAATGGTACGATTCTTATCATGTTGCTCAATCGAGTTGATTCCTCTCACTTCGACTAACAAAGTGTCTTTGTCTCCTGAAAATAAATTTGGAATGCATCTGTGGTTCATGTACTTCTAATGTGAACATACATGTCAAAACATAGGCATCACCATGCTAGCAGGTGTCAGTGAAATGAGCGCAGCGACGGAAGAACTTGCGAATCGACGTCAGCAAAGCGGATTCGCGACGTTCTGGTGTGCAAGCCTGCCGTCCATTGAATAAGTGTGAAGGACCGGTATCATTCATTATCCACCAGTCATCGAAAAGCAGCTTCGTCTTTTCGTCGGATTCGTTTATGGTGCTGCCGAAGATATTGATTTGTTTTTGATTTCTAGATCTCAAACCCAATGACTGTATTTTTTCGAAGTTACACCTCATTTCAATTTCACAAATATATTTTAAAAGCTTATCGTAATTAGTCGGGCACTGGCAGTTTGGGAGCTCTAGTATATTGTGAATGAATTAGGAGAATACTCGGTTACCTACGAAATTACACGTTAGCGCTACTCTTCTTCACAGCGCGACGACGAGCCCGAGGGCGCCTTGCCTTCTCACATTCTCGACTTGAAGACAAAGGGCATAGTGGTCGTCCATGAGATGACCAAAGGCAAACTCAACGAGTTCAACACCCTGTAGCAGGACTACAGTCATTCATCAATCAGAATTGGAATTTGGGATCGGGGAATGCATACGAGGATTCACCACGGGACATGATGTTCATGACCTCCACAAACATGAAGCACTGTTGCTCGTGGACATTGTCCACAGGAACGTTTACCATAGCATGTCACGAACACCTTGACCGCAATCTACCCCCACGTCAAGACGAAGTACAAAGTCAACATTGCAACGAATTTTACCATGCGGCAATTGGAGGGATACGGGTTGCGTTTCAGAAACTTTCTCAGGTCCTGTATGCTTGGATGTGACGTTCCAGTAGACGAATGCTTCAGCTAGCAGCTTCGTCGAGAAAAAAACGCGTCTACTACAAAAAGCACGGTCAATATCGGATGAAGATTGAAAGAAGCGTGCTGTCGAATGACCTGGCCATCAACGTCACCAATTCTTTACCCGGCAGCATGACCGACACACACATGCAAGATGATTGTCAAAACAGGGCTTCCTCACACTCAACTAAAAAAATGTGACAAGCAAGACACCATGGCCGACGGCGGCCCATGGCGCAATGAGTTTACAATATCGTGGGCGGTCCTGATGGACAAGCGTTATCAATGCTTGCTCCACCATTGTTGCGTCTCCACCTGACGGACCTCGCGAAGTCCGTATCCACAGGTACATCACGAAGTTGACTCCCCCCCAGCGGCAAGCCGCCACTGGGGCTTAACCCTACCCCAATCAGACGGCTGCGCACAGCCACTCGTCCAATTAACCAATAGGATCGTCGGCATACTACCCAGGGGAACTGAACCCTTGGCCTGCCCCTTGGTGGGGGTCCAGCGGTTCTGCGAATGGCAAATTCGCAACAATCCCCCCAACGATTGCAACACCCCCAACGCCTTCGCCATCGCCACCACCGTGGCATCTTGGGCGTTGGCCCGCACATACTTTTTGAACGGGAGGGGGAGATCTTCCAGCAAGTTTGTCGCTGGCTCCCACGAGTTTTCGATGACTTGTAGGCCGAGCCAGCTGACCAG